ATTTAACAATGTTTATGAATAAATAAATAAATAAATAATATGAATATTTAGAAATAATTTTAAAAATTTTGAGATTATTTTCTACCGAGACGATATTTTGATATTTTATATTTTTTAGCTTTTGAATTTAGTTTTCGTTATTTTGTATACTTTCGATAATATTTTGATAAACTATATCGAACGTAGGCCTCAAAAGTTAAAAATAAAACAGAAAGAGAAAAATAACGTTAGATTTTCTTTGTAACGGTCGATATTTACATTTGGATTTCGACGTTACGTCATGTGACTTTCATCATCATGTGACGTCTTTGAAGGCAGTGATTACAATTCTGCCAAGGGAGGTCATCACTGTGAGGAGTTTGGGTAGTGTAGTGCAAAAACGCTGGTGAAGCCGAGAAAATGTAGACCGATGGACAGCAAAACGGTTGGCGCTTTGATAATACAAAATTTGATTGTAAGATAGACCAGACTGAATCTGTCCTAAATCTATCCAGCGGTTAATTCTTTGTAGAACCATTGCATACAATTAGCTAGCAAATCTTTAGTATTGTTTGAAATTAAGCACCTTTAATAGAGGAAAAGTGTGTATATGCAATTTCAATGTGAGCTTTTACGATTTCTAAAACTGACCATTGGCATAGTTTAATATTCATTTTCATAAAAAATTTAATTGCTCATTTGTGTCTAACATTTCTAGAAAGGTGTGAAAAACAAGTTAATAATTAACAGTTTAAAAATAAATAAATAATTTCATTTCATAAAGTAACCATGAATTGATTAAATCTGTTTTCTGTTGTAATCTTATCACAATTAGCCAAAAGTGTTACTTTTGATTTTTCGGGTACTGTCTTTATAATGCAATAACTTCATTAAAATGCAATCATTTTTCATAACTTTGGTATCTAAATGACCGAAATGCATTCGGTTTTATGAAACTGTGAAAAAAATATTTAAAAGAAATATATTTTCCTTGTTAAAATGCAATTATCCCAACCGTGCGTTTTCATTGTCCTTAAGTATAGTATCATCAGTCCCTCTAACCCTAACAATTTCTATTTTATATAGAACATTGTTATATTTGTGATTGTTTCATTGTTCGTAAATACAATATTGTTCTCTACAGTCCAGTACGATTATTGGCCACCAAGTGTTGAGCACGTTACCACCTTTTTAGGAGGATTAAAGGGGCCTGGTACCATATAGCTGGACCGTAGCGTAACAATATGACATTCCATGTGGATAATGACCACTATCAATGGATGCAAACATGTCGAAGGACAATAAAATCTGACACAGACCAGTTTCAATATAGATTAATTTTACTTTAAACTAGAAATAGGACACTCATTCGTCAATTACAAGTCAGTCACAGTGGCATATTTGTATGATGGTATTTCATAAAAGTCTGTAGTGCTATATTTATAAGTAATATATATACAGCTATAGTATTATAACTTGGGAGTTTAACAAACTAATTTATGTGGTTTCCTTCCCTTTTCAACTATAAATATGGATGGAATAAAGCCCATAAATCATTGGATGTCCAACCCATCACACATTGCTCCCCACTTCATAAGAATGCTTTTTTGGAAGCACTCAACATTTCTCTTTGTGGCATCCACAATTTCCTTATTTATATATACATGTATAACCTCTGCACAGAAAGACCCTCTGTAGAACAATCACCTTTTCACAACAGTAACCTTTTTTTTTCAAAAAGTAAGACTTCACAATAAATTTAACCTCTGATGAGCATCACCTCTCAAAATTAACCATTTCTTTGTCTCCCAAAGGGTGTTGCTATGCAGAGATTTAACAATAATAGTATAATACCAATTTTCATTAAAATCTAACCCACTTTTTCTATACTCAAACATAAAAAGTAAAAGTCACAAAAACGCTTTTTTAAATTTTATTTATTTTTGCCTATTGACAAACAATTCTGGTGGATTTTATGGAAAAAATAATTCAAAGTATACAAATTTCCTATGAAATAATTATCAATCTTTGTACCATTTAAAATCAGAATTTGCAGAATAATGATTAAAAAATAAAATTAAAATTTGAACTCTCAAATAATGTAAATTATAAAAATATAAACATTGTACCTGAATCAAACAAAAATCAAACATGTATAAAAATATACTGATAAGTAATAAAGCAACACAACTAACACTTTACATGCTAAATTTGGAAATGGAAAGTCTGCATATTTACTTACAAAAACATTTTTCTTCATTTTATACTTAAAATATTGTATTAAAATGCATAAATTCCAGGACATTCCTTAAAATGAGGGAATGTAGTTGTTGACAATGAATGCTCCCTGACACAACTAAATCATTACCATGCTATGAAGAAAAATAGTAGAAAAATCTAATTTTGGGCTCAGTGACCTTGAACCCATCTACTTCAGTTATATATATATTATCGTATACACAATAGTCAATATATCACACAGTTAAAGGAGAGCAGTGGCTTGTAGGTTAAGGTGTCTGCCTCTAATCCCCAGGGATCACCTCTTTTTCAAGCCTTTCTTCGGTCACAGCCATGATTCCTCATATGAAACCAGTAATGGGTTAATGCCAGGAAGCAGACTCCATAGAGATTAATATAAGATACAAGAACTTGTATTGCAATCAAGCTTAAACTAATAAAAGAAGGAAACAAACATGGCAAAATCTATTTTCAGCCTAAATGACCTTGAATTTATGACATAATTTGAAGTGTTACCAAGAGACGATACGATGTCCATGTGGCAATATACCTGATTACTATACATCTACATATAATCCTGGTGAACAAATAATGTTACAATGGGAAACAATCAATGTGATCAAATAACAGAAATGAAGGATGAAGCTATGCACTCCCTGGATAGTTTCCATTCAGTCAGTTTTGAATTTGTTAGAAGTCATTTGTAAATTTCAATATAAATAATAAATTTGAGCAACGGAAATTTTTGCCTCTCATGAGAAGTTAAAGCACTTCATATATACTATAGCATATACATACATAACTATGACAAAAACAATAGTAACAACAACAGCAGCGACGACGACGACGACGATAACAACAACAACATAGATTATTCAACAATTCAACATTAGTTAAAAACTGTAAGATTTTCAGAGAAACATTGTAATTTCAGTAATGAAACTAGATCTATTAATCATTTTAAATTTTCTTTCATTTTTTTATGAAAGTAAATGTTCCCACTCATTCAAACAGTCATGATATTAGTATTTATGTTGCAATGTAAAGTAATTTAAAAAAAAACTTTGATAAATGATGGCTAAAGCATGTACATGTAAATGATATTTCTTGTGAAGACATTTCATCAGTCTTAAAACATTCTTAAAACATGGCAATTTTCTACTAACATATCTTTTTTCACACAGAGTAAATATTGCTGAATTTTAACATCTGCTAACTGATTGCATACAGTACATTGAAACAAAACATGTTTGAAACATCTTCTATGTATTTCCTTTTCATCAAATCTCAAAAATTACTAAAAAGAAATAAAAAAAAAACACTTTTGTGACTTAACTTATGTAACCACACTATTCTAAAATTGCTGTCAAGCGTTTGAAAGATACACTTGCATGACTATATACATTGTATATATACATGACTACAAGCATATTTTATTGACATATTTCAAAGACACACTTACATGGCCATATTTTATAAACAATATTCTAAAATTACTGTTGTTACATACACACATTACTATACTTAATTGACTCTGTTCTAAAATTATAACAAAATTATAAAAAAAAAAATCAGAATCAATCAAATTTAGCATTACCTTAGTATAATTCGAAATTCTATATTTTTTGTCTTAAACAAGAGCTGTCGGTAGGACAGCAACGCTCGACTATTCTTAGTGCTTGATAGTAAAAAAAATGCTTGATACAGTTACCTCCTCCTGTTTACAGGTTGGGGTCATGATGGTGAACAAGTGTGCAAAGTTTCAAAGCCATATGTCAATGGACTTTGAAAATAATTGAACTATTACAAAAACTTTAACGTAAATTCTAAGTCGAAAAAGGGGCATAATTCTGTCAAAATGCTTGATAGAGTTACCTCCTCTTGTCTACAGGTTGGGGTCATGATGGTGAACAAGTGTGCAAAGTTTCAAAGCCATATGTCTATGGACTTTGAAAATATTTGAACTATTACAAAAACTTTAACATAAGTGGTTACGCCGACGCCGACGCTCGGGTGACTGCAATAGCTCTACTTATTCTTATCGAATAGTCGAGCTAAAAAGGTAGCAACTAAATGGATAAAACTTCACTTGATAATAAAAAACATTTAAAAAAATAATTTTAACATTTTATCTGTTACACATAGAAAAGGTGTTATTTTTTATTACTTGCATACTAATTATTAAGAATACATGTATTCCACAACATTATTTTGTTACTTCACAACATTATGATGTAATAACTTGTCAAAAGGTTAAATTCTATTGAAAATTCACAGAAGTTATCCCATTACTGCACTAAGATGAAACAATTTACCATCTTATTATGTTGTATATCAATTCTTTTTTATTTGTTCTAATATTCTTTCAGAATTTCTATTAACACTACTACTCACTTAAGTTATACTAATTATAACCCTTGTTAAACCCCAATCTTTGTGTATGATTTGGCTAATACCCATTATGCTAACGATATGATGTGAAAAGAAGACCTACTACAATTTGGCACGACCCCACTCCCCAAGAGCCATTGCAATATCGGGGACATGGTTGACTTTTTCTTTTTTGAAAAGACAAATACATCAGAAAATCATTGTAGTGAGAGGTTGGTTAAAGAAAAGACCATCAATAAATATCAAAGTTAAATGAATTTAAGCAAAATCCAAGTAACTTTGACCTTGCAAAATCCAATTAACTTTGACCTTGCATGTCAAGGTCAAATTAAGGCACAGGTCAAGTTTTATCCAATTGTCTTGTTGTTAGGGTTGTTGTGTCCAAGTATGAAGACAATCCAGTCATTTATTAAATTTTTTTAGCCAAATATAGCAAAAGAAAAATACAGAACAAAACCAAAAAACAACAAAATACCAAAAAACACATCCAAATAGTTTACCTCCCTAAAGGTCATTCATGAGTAAAGATCAAGTAAAATCTTCTTGGAGGTTCTAACCAAGTTTTTTTTTTCCAAGTATGAAGACAATCCATTCTTACATTATAGTTGTAGTTAATTATAGCAAAAATCAAGAAAATTTTAATAACTTTACCCTTAAAACTACTATCCAACACATTTTAGTTTTGGCGATTTTGAAATAAAATGTCATTAAAAGAAAAATGTTCACCACAGATGGAACTAAATGATTATTATACGTCTTGTCCGATGAAACAAACAAGTTTTTGCAATGTTTATAACGCTGTAATTTTAAACCGTTGCAATGCTTTATTTTGTAAATACTGATTTGATTTATAAACACACTTATTAACTAGATGCAAGTAGATCCGTTGGTTGCCGGTGTAAAAGTTGTGCGCTTGGTAAGTTTTTTATCCTGCAATCGATTGCTGCACAATATATCATAGAAAATTTTGTCCATAAAAAGAGACAAAACAGAAGAAAATATCATAATAATCCAGTTAAAACTGTCATTTATATAGCAAGTTCTACCTGCATCAAGCTGTCCTACTCACTACATGTTAACAGAAGTGATAATAGGGGTGTTTATATCTTTGTCAAGTGACACATAACAACCATTAAGTCACAATTATCTCATGGAAACTTGTAAAAAATTTTCTTGTATGCAAATTCAATAACTGTAAACAATATGTTAATGTTTTTAGACCAGCTTTGTGTGGGAGAGTAGCTTTAAAGTCAAGGTAAAAGCATACAAGGCCAGTTTGGTCTTCTTGAGGGCCCTGTCCTAATATTGTTGTATCCCAGTATGAAGACAATCCATTCATAAATAATTAAGTTAAAGCCAGTTAAAGCAAATGAAAAAATATGACCTTCAAAGCCGAGGTCATTTATGACTCAAAGTCAAGCTCAGTCTGGTCTACTTTAAGGTCTTGTCTAAAGGGTTGTTGTGTGCAAATATGAAAAAAAACAACAAAAAACTACAACCAACATAAAAGTTTTTGGATTATAATAGCATTTGCAACGGCAATGACAAATAGACTGTAGCATTAGCACACATTTTTCTTTATCAAAAAGATGGGCTATAAAATCACATTATCTGCTTTATATCACATTCTGTTGAGAATTATTATTCCAAACAATAACTTGTCTCTCCTGTCAATCATCATAACAACCTGCTAACATTTAATTGTTTTGCTGCTTCACACGCAGTTTCTAGCTCAGATTTTGTTTTTGGGAAACTTCTGTTTACAGATTTCAGGTTGAGCTGTACACTGATTTGATCAAGTATCTCTATCAATCTTTTCCTTAGCACTTCTGCTGCATGTGCTTGACCTTGGGACTCCAAACATCTCTTTGACAATCTTATCACACGATGGTCCTGAAAAATACAACAACATACCGTCATATAAAAACTCATTATTCATTGATAACATGCTAAATTTATAACCTGGAGTTAAGAAAGTACTCTTGCAATTTAGCCAATATTTTTTAAAGTCTTAGAGTAAACAAGAGGGCCATGATGGCCCTGAGGTCGCTCACCTGTATATAGGCCCCCACCCCCCAATGATCAATGACCCCCTGGGGCGGGGCCAATTTTGACCCCAGGGCTTTTATTTGAACAAACTTGGTAGACACGTATTAGAACATGTTTCATGCTAAATATCTTAGCTCTAACTCTTTTGGTTCTTTAAAAGAAGATTTTTTAAGTTTTTACTATATGCATATAGGGAAAATCAATGACCCCCTGGGGCGGGGCCAATTTTGACCCCAGGGCTTTTATTTGAACAAACTTGGTAGACAACTATTAGAAAATGTTTCATGCTCAATATCTTAGCCATAGCTCTTTGAGTTCTTTAAAAGAAGATTTTTAAAGTTTTTACTATATGCATATAGGGAAAATCAATGACCCCACGGGGCGGGTCCAATTTTGACCCCAGGGCTTTTATTTGAACAAACTTGGTAGACACCCATTAAAACATATTTCATGCTAAATATCTTAGCTCTAGCTCTTTTGGTTCTTTAAAAGAAGATTATTTAAGTTTTTACTATATGCATATAGGGAAAATCAATGACCCCCCCCGTTGCGGGGCCAATTTTGACCCCAGGGCTTTTATTTGAACAAACTTGGTAGACACTTATTAGAATATGTTTCATGTTAAATATCTTAGCTCTAACTCTTTTGGTTCTTTAAAAGAAGATTTTTTAAGTTTTTACTATATGCATATAGGGAAAATCAATGACCCCCCGGGGCGGGGCCAATTTTGACCCCAGGGCTTTTATTAGCTCACCTTGCACAAAGTGCAGGTGAGCTTTTAGGATGGCCAACCAAATGGCGTCCGTCGTCTGTCGTCCGTCCACATTTTAAATATTCTAAGGACATCTTCTATGATACCGCAAGGCCAATGTTAATGAAACTTGACAGGAATACTCTTTGTATGAAGCTCTATCAAGATTGTTCAAAGAATTCCATTTCATGCAGAACTCTGGTTGCCATGGCAACCGAAAGAAAAATCTTTAAATATCTTCTTTTAAAGAACCGTAAGAGCTAGAGCTTAGATATTTGGCATGAAACATCTTCTAATGAGTGTCTACCAAGTTTGTTCAAATAAAAGCCCTAGGGTCAAAATTGGCCCCGCCCCAGGGGGTCATTGATTTTCCCTATATGCATTTAGTAAAAACTTAAAAAATCTTCTTTTAAAAAACCCAAAGAGCTAGAGCTAAGATATTTGGCATGAAACATCTTCTAGTGAGTGTCTACCAAGTTTGTTCAAATAAAAGCCCTGAGGTCAAAATTGGCCCCGGCCCGGGGGGTCATTGATTTTCCCTATATGCATATAGTAAAAACTTAAAAAATCTTCTTTTAAAGAACTGTAAAAGCTAGAGCTTAGATATTTGGCATGAAACATCTTCTAGTGAATGTCTACCAAGTTTGTTCAAATAAAAGCCCTGGGGTCAAAATTGGTCCCGCCCCAGGGGGTCATTGATTTTCCCTATATGCATATAGTAAAAACTTAAAAAATCTTCTTTTAAAGAACCCAAAGAGCTAGAGCTAAGATATTTAGCATGAAACATCTTCTAGTGAGTGTCTACCAAGTTTGTTCAAATAAAAGCCCTGAGGTCAAAATTGGCCCTGCCCCAGGGGGTCATAGATTTTCCCTATATGCATATAGTAAAAACTTAAAAAATCTTCTTTTAAAGAACCCAAAGAGCTAGAGCTAAGATATTTGGCATGAAACATCTTCTAGTGAGTGTCTACCAAGTTTGTTCAAATAAAAGCCCTGGGGTCAAAATTGGCCCCGTCCCAGGGGGTCATTGATTTTCCCTATATGCATATAGTAAAAACTTAAAAAATCTTCTTTTAAAGAACTCAAAGAGCTAGAGCTAAGATATTTAGCATGAAACATGTTCTAATGGGTGTCTACCAAGTATGTTCAAATAAAAGCCCTGGGGTCAAAACTGGCCCCGCCCGAGGGGGTCATTGATTTTCTTTATATGTGTATAGCAAAAACTTAAAAATCTTCTTTGAAAAAACCCAAATAGCTAGAGTTTAGATATTAAGCATGAAACACCTTTAAGTAAATATCTACAAAGTTTGTTCAAATTTGTTCAAAAGCCCGGGGGTCAAAACTGGCCCTGCCCCAGGGGTGTCATTATTTTTAACTATATGTGTATAGTAAAAACTTAAAAATCTTCTTTTAAAAAACCCAATGAGCTAGAACTTAGATGTTTAGCATGAAACATCTTCTTATGGGTGTCTACCAAGTCTGTTCAAATAAAAGCCCTTGGGTAAAAATTAGCCCGGGGGGGGGGGGGGGGGGGGCTATATACAGGTGAGCGACCTCAGGGCCATCATGGCCCTCTTGTTTGAACAAACATGGTAGACACCCATTAGAACATATTTCATGCTAGATATCTTAGCTCTAGCTCTTTGGGTTCTTTAAAAGAAGATTTTTTAATGTTTTACTATATGCATATAGGGAAAATCAATGACCCCCCGGGGCGGGGCCAATTTTGACCCCAGGGCTTTTATTTGAACAAACTTGGTAGACACTCACTAGAAGATGTTTCATGCCAAATATCTAAGCTCTAGCTCTAATGGTTTTTTAAAAGAAGATATTTAAAGTTTTTTCTTTCGGTTGCCATGGCAACCAGAATTCTGCATGGAATTAAATTCTTTGAACAATTTTTAAAGGTGACCACCAAAGGATCATTCCTGTGAAGTTTAGATGAAATTGGCTTAGTGGTTTATGAGGAGATGTCATTTAAAGTAAAAGTTTACGGACGGACGGACGGACGGACGACGGACGGACGGACGGACGCCGGACGGACGGACGCCGGACGAAAAGCGATCACAAAAGCTCACCCTGTCACTTTGTGACAGGTGAGCTAAAAATAAAACCCAACTTTAATAATAATATGGTGATACATTGCACAGATGTACAAAAGCTTACAGATGGATTATATAGCTCCATACTTGTGGTATGAATTATCTTTTATATTGTCTTTTATTATTACTTCTAGCATTTAAACAATAGAGAATACTTTGATTCACTTGAACTTTTCATTTTCATATACAATGTACATGTATTGTTATCATAGGTTTATGCAAAAGACACCATGTAAAATAGTGTACAAAGTCATTCTTATACTTAAAACATAAAACAGGGTTTCGAAATTTTTGGAAATTTTTTCTAATGAAACAATGAGCTCAATGTGTCTTACAGATAAGGAATGGGCATGCTTCTTAAACAGAAAAATATGTACAAATATTTGCCCCACATCCATGTAGGTCTAATTCCCACTGGAACAAAAACAAATTTTTATGTTAAGAGATATCTTATGACAAGGAAGTAAGTAAAAACTTAATATAATGAGGCTTTGTATTTGGGTCTAAAACTTTTGTAAACATGTGCCAACATAGGCCTAAAATATTGTACAGAGAATGGCACCTGTTATTGTCTTCAGAGTGAACGAGCTAATCTCGAAAGCCCGCCATCAAAGTGTGGGTGAGATAAGTCAAACTGTACAACAGATTAATGTTACTTACCTTCATTTGTACTTTAATGATTTCCATCAGATTTACTTGATGTTGGTCCAAGTCTTCCCCTTCAGACAATAAACACAGTTCAGTCTCTTTCTCTATTGCCTAAATATAAAATATATCTACCGAAATAAACTTGAGGTATGATAACATGAAACTATATCAAAATTTTACAGTATTGAGGTCATGAAGAATTGTGATTTTACAGTGTTGAGATTATGAGGAATTGTGATTTTACAGTGTTGAGATTATGAGGAATTGTGATTTTACAGTGTTGAGATTATGAGGGATTGTGATTTTACAGTGTTGAGATTATGAGGAATTGTGATTTTACAGTGTTGAGATTATGAGGAATTGTGATTTTACAGTGTTGAGATTATGAGGAATTGTGATTTTACAGTGTTGAGATTATGAGGAATTGTGATTTTACAGTGTTGAGATTATGAGGGATTGTGATTTTACAGTGTTGAGATTATGAGGAATTGTGATTTTACAGTGTTGAGATTATGAGGGATTGTGATTTTACAGTGTTGAGATTATGAGGAATTGTGATTTTACAGTGTTGAGATTATGAGGAATTGTGATTTTACAGTGTTGAGATTATGAGGAATTGTGATTTTAGAGTTTAGATTGTGAAGAATTGTATTTTACATTGTTGAGATCACAAAGAATTGTGAATGCACAGTGTTAACTTAAGATCATAAGGGACTTGTGTTTTATCTAGGAAATCAATTAACATTTATATATTGGTCAATTGTTTTGTAAAGCATTCTTTATAGAATTGATATGTTAAAATAGATATATACATAAATGATATGTTAAAATAGATATATGCATACATGATATGTTAAAATAGATATATACATAAATGATATGTTAAAATAGATATATACATACATGATATGTTAAAATAGATATATACATAAATGATATGTTAAAATAGATATATACATACATGATATGTTAAAATAGATATATACAGTAATGATATGTTAAAATAGATATATACATAAATGATATGTTAAAATAGATATATACATAAATGATATGTTAAAATAGATATATACATAAATGATATGTTAAAATAGATATATACATACATGATATGTTAAAATAGATATATACATACATGATATGTTAAAATAGATATATACATACATGATATGTTAAAATAGATATATACATAAATGATATGTTAAAATAGATATATGCATACATGATATGTTAAAATAGATATATACATAAATGATATGTTAAAATAGATATATACATAAATGATATGTTAAAATAGATATATGCATAAATGATATGTTAAAATAGATATATACATACATCATCTAATGGTTTGAGCAACTCAGGTACTAGTCCCTTCAATTTGTATTTGTCTCCTAGATGTATTGATTCAAACATCAGTTGACGGATGTAAATCTGAGCACTTACTATGGCCTGAAACACAGTAAATGTTCAAAAATGTCCTGATCTATGATGAATAAAGCAATGTCGGCCAGTAATACACTTAATATAAAATGTACTTGTTTGTAATACAAACAAAGTACTAGTGTGTAATAAATATATTAAACAAAGTCCTGAACTACGATACAACACAGTAAAAAAAGCCCTGATCTATGATACTAAATAGTAAATAAAGGTTTGACCTATGGCACAAAACCTTACACAAAGTCCTGGCCTTCAAAACAAAGTCTTGGCCTATGATACAAAACTTTAAACAAAGTCCTGGCCTTTAAAACAAAGTAATCAATTTTTTTTTTTTAATGCGTTTATTTAAGGTCGCCGCCGGAAAGCCCATATGGGCGACCGTACACTCAAGTCGGGTCATCCTAGAGCGTCCCGCCGAGACTTTTCGTAGATTTTTTTCCAGCTTTATTGGTGGAGGAAGACCCCAGGTGCCCCTCCGGGCATTATTTCAGGCACGAGCGGGCACCTGGGTAGAACCACCGACCTTCCGTAAGCCAGCTGGATGGCTTCCTCACATGAAAGATTTCGACCCGAGTGAGGATCGAACCCACAGTGGTGAGGGACCTGTGATCTCAAGTCAGCGACTTTAAAAAAAAGTAATCAATGTAAAATCATATGATTTTAATAATAATATTTTTACAATATTTCATTGTAGTTGTCCTTTACTTTGTGAAGCATGTATATCAATCTTTCAGTTAATAATTGATACAGTAAATATATAATATAATTCTTAAGCCAAATACATGTATTCAAATATGTTTGAAGAAATAAAATTATAATTTGTCAGCTTTTATATTTTACAACATTAATCCCATTGAACAGATTAGTTTAAAACAACAAAATATATTTCATCATTTTACTACAAATTTAAACAAGAAACATAATGAACGTACATTTTTATCAACAATTTTCTGTATATATTCCAGCACTTGTGGCGGAGCAGCTTCACCAAGCTTTCTTTTCAATTTCCTGAACGTATTTACATTACCAATGTAGAATTCACTTTTTGCCTGGAGAAAAAAACAAAAACAACAATTATAATTGTAAGCAAATAGAAAGAAAGTTTTGCCTCTAGTGGTTTTGAAACTTTTTCGAAGTGCAGAGTACCAGTTTTTGTGCACTTCACTTCTTTATGATATGATCTATCATACTTTGAAGTTTCAAGTTCATAGCTTTATAGTTTAGGAGAAATGGCCCAGATAAAAGTATGAAAATTAACTAAAGGCAATAACTCAAAAAGTAAGAAGTGCAGAGTACCGGTTCTTGTGCACTGCACTTCTTCTTAATGAGATCTATCATTTCTATGAAGTTTCAAGTCCATAGCTTTTATAATTTAGGAAAAATGGCCCGGAAAAAATTAAAGTATGAAAATTAACAAAGGGCAATAACTCAGAAGTGCAGAGTAACAATTCAGATGCACTGCACTTCAGGTTATTGAAAGAATCATGCATACCAAGTTTGGAGACGATCCTACTAATAGTGACTGAGTTATGCTCCTGATAAGCCTTAGGGGCCGCCAACAAAAGTAACCCCTATATGCTGCCTTTTCAAGGCGATACAATAGTAACAATAATACATGTATTACCTTCATATAGTTCCTAAGAAGTTTTCTTTGTGTGTCTGTTTCACAACCGTCCTGAAGTTTTTTTATGGTGGGAATCTTTAAAGACATTGTGGCAAAATAGTCTGATAAATCCTCCTAAAAATAATGTAAAAGTTAAACTAGTGTTTCTTAACTGTTTGCTTCTGTTTCTGTGCATATTTTCAAACTGTACCCCCAAGTCAAAATTTGATTGATATAAACTTTTGACAACTTAGATGATAAAAAATTCTTTAGATACCCCATCATACAATAATTACAATAGGCTAACACTTAGACAGAACAATCAGCCACAACTACAGGCCTGGAACATGACAAATTCATGTACTAATAGTGTGATTACTTACAGTATAAAATACACAATAGATTCAAAATTAATGACCTTTAGATTAAGGTTGCTGGAAGCAACAGAATCTACTCATGAATACACCCACACACCATTTGATCAGGGTCTGCACTGTTCATAATTCAGTCAGTCAATATTTTGAAATTTTCCCTAAAAATGATTAATGGTTTTGTCCAGAATGAAAGACGGACAAGTCCACTTAAGATTTTTAGGTAATAGTTAAATACAGGATCTTCTAAGGATTCATATCTGATATTTTAATATGATATATGAAGATTAAAACCACACAGTTACCTGAGCTTTGGCTAGCACCTTGGTATTACTGCCATCCCCTGAAGCTTTACTACTGTTTTCCAGGCTTTCTACAATGTCTTGGTACTGTAATCAGATTATAAACAGATTAAAATTGTCATAACATGACAATAAATAAAGTTAAATCCTTATTTAGACAATTCTTAACATATGCAGTTTCTTTCCTACCTAAAAGATTTTTATTAAAAATCCACCCCTGCCACCTCTATTGGAAGCTGGATCTACAACTATCAATGTACATGTATGTCATTTAAAGCGGCCTTCAGCACTTTATTGTTGGAAAAACAATTCTGTGGTGTTTCAAACTAAATACATGTATATCAGTAATTATACCTTGGAAAACTCACTATGTCAGTAATTTTATCTTGGAAAAGTGCATCATATTATTATTAAGTCTTCTTCAAACAGTGTCCCGAGAGCTACAAATGTATTTATAACGCACTGCACTTCTTATCAATAAGATCTATCTTCCTATGATGTTTCAAGTCCATAGCATTTATAATTTATAAGAAATGGCCTGGACAAAAATAAAGTATGAAAATTAATAAAGGGTAATAACTCAAAAATAAGAAGTGCAGAGTAACGGTTCTTGTACACTGCACTTTTTCTTAATGAGATCTATCATCCTACCATAGCTTTTATAGTTAAAGAGAAATGGCCTGGACAAAAAATAAAGTATGAAAATTAACAGAGGGCAATAACTCAAAAAATAAGAAATGCAGAGTACCAGTTCTTGTGCAATGCACTTCTTCTTAATAAGATCTATCATCCTATGAAGTTTCATGTCCATAGCTTTTATACTTTAGGAGAAATGGCCCGGACAAAAATAAAGTATGAAAATTAACAAAGGGCAATAAATCAAGAAAATAAGAAATGCAGAGTACCGGTTCTTGTGCACTGCACTTCTACTTGATCATATCTATCATCCTATGAAGTTTCAAATACATAGCTAGCTTTTATACTTTAGGCGAAATGGCCCGGACAAAAATAAAGTATGAAAATTAACAAAGGGCAATAACTGAAAAAATAAGAATGCAGAGTACCGGTTCTTGTGTACTGCACTTCTTCTTAATGAGATCTATAATCCTATGAAGTTTCAAGTCCATAGCTTTTATACATTAAGAGAAATGGCCCAGACAAAAATAAAGTATGAAAACTAACAAAGGGCAATAACTCAAAAATTAAGAAGTGTTATGCACTGCACTTTGGGTCATTATAAGAAGCATGCATACCAAGTTTGCAGTCAATCCGACTTATAATGACTGACTTATGCTCCAGACAAGCTTAAGGGGACGCAGACACCAACAACGACGCAGACACTGCCGACAAAAATAACCCCTATATGTCCCCTTTTCAAGGAGACACAAAAATTGCAATATTTTCAGCTTATTTCTTTAGCCTGAGTGACAATGTGGTTATTATCTAACTTCCATGTGTGAGATATAGCATATTCATGAAAAACAAATGGAACTTTCACTGTGAGTGATATACTGTCAGTGATATGGATTATATCACACATATAAAACACAGGTTAGTATGAAGTGAATTATCAAGCTGATCTTGGGGCATCCATGGCCCAGTGGTTAAGGTCATTGACTTCAAGCCACTTAACTCTCCCTGCTTGTGGGTTCAAATCCCGCCAAAGACTCTGGATTCTGTCATGTTAGGATGCTATCCAGCTAGCTTACAGAACATTGTTAGTTCTACTCAGGTGCCTGTTTGTGCTTATAATAATGCAAGGAAGGGCACCTGAGGTCTTCCTTCACCAGTAAAGCGGGAACATTGCCATATGACCTATACTGTGTCTGTGCAATGTAAAACCTAATCAAACAAACAATCAAACAGATCTTTTTCATCAGTATACAGTTTTATACAATCTGACTAAACCTCAGTACTTATATTTCACATACAGTGTAGCAATGCTGCAATAATATCGGAGCTGTATTTCATCAGATTGCAGTTTTATAAAATTCTAAGCAGTCACACCTCTCTCCCTCCCTAACAAACCCAGATACATTAAAGCATTACCTTTGTCATGTGATCAGTAATTTTATTTTGTAGTATTGTAACAGACAAATCAACAACAATCAACTTTGAAATGACCCCTTCCGCCTTGTCCTTGACCTCTGACCTTAAGTCTTGTTCGACTTTGTCCACTTGAAGGTCAACAACATACTGTCTACAAGATGCACACACATGTAATAGTAGAGACACCTCTGGTTCAACCTCAGGACTCTGAAATACCAGAAACAAATTGTTCCATTGTTCAAATATCAGTACATGCACAAGGTTGGCTTTCAAGTACATTTCATTTAAAACTTCAGCACAATTCAATTCAAAGGTGGAAAAGTTAAGCCTCAAGTTGCATATGAATAGAGAAGTTGCTTATTTCAATTTTCACCTAATAAACCTGTCCAATCATTTCAGGAATACCATGCTAATATAATTTTATACTCCCCAACCATTGAATAGAAAGAGAGGTAAAAATAAAAAGTTGTATCCAATGACAATATAAATTAAACTTACCCCTACTACTTTGATGATCACTAATCTAGCTTCTGTGTTTACATTATCATTCACATCATCTGGTATATAGACTAGAAGCTCCTTGTGTATACACACCTTACACAGAACCTGGCTGCAGAGTTTACACGTATATTTCTTCTTCAGTATGTTAAATCCTGTCGAACATCTCTGACACTTGTCTGATATACTCTCTTGCTATGAAAAAAAAAACAAAAACATTTAAAGATGTCTTACAATTTTTGTATAAGTTAGGCGTTACATCCCTCCAAGACTGAAAAGGTCATAAAGCAACTTTCCAGTTTTACTTATAGAGGGAGCTCAAGTGTCCCTCAGGTGCATTAAATCAAGAATGTATCGACACCTGAGAAGAACAACTGACATAATGTCAGTTAGCTGGATAGCTTCCTCACATGACAGAATCCAAAGTTCTTAGTCGGATTCAAACCCATAGCAGTGAAGGACAAGTGGTTTGAACTCTGTTCAACCATGAGGGCAAGTGGTTTGAAGTCAACAAACCATAACCACTTGACCATAACCAACCCTATTAAAATATTTTCTAACTCAATAATTGTACATAAGAAGTTATAACATAGTTTTAACCAACTTTATATTTATATACTTGTATAAAATAAGAAAACGTAATTTATTTACCATCCAATTAGCTGATTTTTGCCAATCTGGCGTGGTTATCATAACCTTCACTTCATGAAGAGTTCTCTTCACCTCTGATGCTGCAACACTCTTCATAAAACCTTCCCGTAATCTGTCACACTCACTTGCTAAGTCTAAACTGAAAAGATAATGCCAAATCATACATAAATATGGAATTAAAATATTTTTCAATGTTATAAGAAGTGTGTGGCATATTATATTATATATATTATATCATTAGGCAGTAATTTCTATTATAAGTAAAGAAAGCTATTCCTTCCTAGTTCAAGACATACTATTAAGCACTTTTTTAGGCTTAGAGGACCTTGAAAATGAAAAAAAAGATCCCTAAACCTAACGATAAAACAAAGATTGGGATTGAAAAAGCCAAATCTATATCCCTTTGCCTTTTTGGGGATAAAAAGATTCTTTTTTGTATTAAAGTAATAACAATTTATATACAACTTATTACAAATTGTATAAAAGTAATATGTATAAAGAAATTGCCATTTGTATAAAAGTATTTTTAATCTGTATAAAAGTAATTTCATTTGTATAAAAGTAATGACAATTTGTATAAAAAAATTACAATTTGTATTATAAAATATCATTATATAATAATATATAATTGCAATTTGTATGAAATTACTAAAACAATTTGCATAACAGTACTAAAAATAATTTGTATAAAAGTAATTACTTTTGTCTCCTAGACTTGTGTAAACTTGATTTGCCACGCTGGATGACACTCAATTCTTGCTTTTTATTCAGTTTAGCTGCTTTAAAAGCTTTCAACTGACTCCTAACAGTAACTTCATTGTTGCGATCCTCTTCAAAACATGTCTGGCATACCTAAAATACATAAAAGCAGAGCACCTTTAGGAAAAAGACACATCTCTTCTCAAACAGAGGTCAAAATAAACCTTTATTGAGTAATGGAAAAAGTTGATTAGAATGGGCAAGGAGCAGGGCCATTGTTCACCATACAACATTGTTAAATTTCCTCAGGGTCAAGATGAGTTGAAGTTAAATTAGAAGATGTTTCTAATGTTCGAACTCATCCTAGCTTTCACCTAGACAAGCATCCTGACCAAGTTTGATGATGATTGAGGCAAAAATGTGACTGCTAGAGTGTTAACAAGGTTTTTCTATTTTTAGCTCCGGTGACCTAGTTTTTCATCCGAGATGACCCATGTTCGAACTCATCCAAGCTATCACCTTGACAAGCATCCTGACCAACTTTGATGATGATTGAGGCAAAAATGTGACCTCTAGAGTGTTAACAAGGTTTTTCTATTTTTAGCTCCGGTGACCTAGTTTTTCATCCGAGATGACCCATGTTCGAACTCATCCAAGCTATCACCTTGACAAGCATCCTGACCAACTTTGATGATGATTGAGGCAAAAATGTGACCTCTAGAGTGTTAACAAGGTTTTTCTATTTTTAGCTCTTGTGACCTAGTTTTTCATCCGAGATGACCCATGTTCGAACTCATCCGAGCTATCAACTAGATAAGCATCCTGACCAAGTTTGATGATGATTGAGGCAAAAATGCGACCGCTAGAGTGTTAACGAACTAAATGTGGACGGACAACGGACAATCATCGATCCTAAAAGCTCACCCTCTCAGCATGCTCAGATGAGCTAAAAAGTCTAAACCTTACAAAGTTTCCCCTCATGATAAAGATTAGCATGTTAAAAACGAATACTACAAAGTTTACCCTCAAAATCACAATATAAAGGTTTTAACCAGGATCATCATGAGCAAGTTAAAAAATGTAAACGCTATAAAATTTTTCTCTCAGTCCGGGTCAAATTTTTGAATTTTCAATCAGGGTCAAGATAAGACAAGTTCAAGTTTATACCTTATAAAGTGTCCCCTCGGGATCAAATTGAGCAAGTTTACTCAGTTTTCTTCTAAATTTGACGCACTCATTACAAAACACTTCACCACACTTCCTACAATGGTGCTGACGCTCAATCAATGTAAACTTTTTACTGCAATTTCTGTTAGAACAGAATTGCCTGTCTTCACTTTTTATCCAATGTCTTTTTGTTATTTCTGAAATCAAAACATTGTCATTTCTGAAACACAAAGTACTATGGCTTTTGTTTGTAACTATACAGTTACAATGTATTTTGGTCAAAACTTTAATGCAGTTTTGACTAATTATTATAAAAAAGAGCTTGACAAGTTCTAAATCTAACCTTAGGAAAAAACAACATCTTCCCAAAATTTAAAACATTAAGTATAACAGTAGTTAAGATCAAAATATTGACTTTACTTAGATAAATTAATAAGTATATTTATTGAATGGTAAAAACCATTGTAATGATTGTATGGCATTATAGGATAAAAATGCTATATTTGTATTTTGTTACATATTACTAATTTTGCTCTGCAGCTTTAATATAATTATGATAATTACAAAGAGTGAAAATAGAGAAATATGTGGAAATAGAGAAATATGTTACTTGTGCTACCTTGATTTGCAATATCCTCATCCCCAAATTTTAGGTCCAAACTTTCATTTTTGTTATAATCATAACTTGAACTACTTGATGACCTGTAACCAATGCTGCTGGCTGGTTGGACATATGAATTCAAATCACGACTCACAAACTCCCAATCAGACATTGTACCTTGAAAAACATCACACTCTGATGTCTTATTAAAGCATTTAAAAGTTTGTCCTTTTTTTATCACAATTAATTTAGAGAATTAATACATTAATTTACGGTACTAAGTCTTAATTTTTAAATCTTAAACAAGAGCGATCAGTGATCACATGTGTCGCCTCATGATGGCCAATTTCATGTTGGGACAAGTTTTGTGACAGACGGACAGACAGATGGACAGTGCACAACTAGACTTGGTACTGATCATTCCTGTAAAGTCTGGATAAAATTGCATCAGTTGTTTATGAGAAGTAGTCCGGACAAGCTTTTGTGTATCTGGTAACACACAGAAAAAAACACCTTTTTATCAAAGGGCCATAACTCGGCCAAAAATCATTCAACCGGAAAACCCGTGCAATATGCACAAGGACTTGAGCTACAGATCAATCCTGTAAAGTTTTATTGAAATTGCATTAGTGGTATAAGAGAAGTATTCCGGACAATCTTTAAAAATAAAAATTATTAAAGGGCCGTTACTCTGACAAAAATCATTGAACCGGAAAATGCTGACAGTATGCACAACTAGACTTGGTACTGATCATTCCTGTAAAGTTAAGGGACTGCGTTCAGGGCAAAGTCAGACGAAAACTTCGCCGTAAATATTTTCACTTCGCCCTATATGATCTGAAAAGCGAAATTCTAATCGCCCTAAAATCTCTATGAAATGTGTGACATGTATATTTCTCCACTTGATAATACTGCCTGGGGGCAGATTTAATTGTGTAATCTGATGTAATAAGCACACGCGCTGAAGCGTGGCCATAGCGACATTTGGGATTCCACATTGCTAAAAATAGCGCATTGATTATATGGTAAATTAAGACTGCGAAAAACCCTGATATGAATGCAGCAGATGATAACTAGAACTGCCACTGTCATGGCGTGAATATCCCCGCATACCACTTTGTCAGAATCAACAGTGACCATTGAGAGCTCAAAGACAACCTCCCTGCATAATCTGAGGTTACAAAGCCAGTACATAGCTATGTTATGTATTCTACATGCTTCAAATGTGAAAATGTCAAAATCAATACACTGCGGAGAGGCATTCTTAAGCATTTGAGCAGACAAGCTTATTATAGTAAAATCCCTGTGACCTTGACCTTTGACACAGTCACCTAATAATCTAAAGGGGTCATCTTCTAGTCATAAACAACCTCAATACCAAATATGTTGACTGTTGACCAAAGCCTTCTTAAGCAATTGAGCGGACAAGCTTTTTTTAGTCAAGGTCCCTGTGACCTTAACCTTTGACCTGGTGACTTCAAAATCAATAGGGGTCACCAAATGGTCATGACAAATCTCCATGCCAAATATGAAGATTGTGGGTCAAAGGATTCTTAAGTTATTGGGCGTACAAGCTTTTTGAAGTCAAGGCCCCTGTGACCTTGACCTTTGACCTGGTGCCCTTAAAATCAAAAGTGGTCATCTACTAGTCGTGACTAACCTCCATGCCGAATAATTAAGACTGCAGGTCAAAGGATTCTTAAGTTATTGGGCGGACAAGCTTTTTGAGGTCAAGGCCCATGTGACCTTGACCTTTGACCTGGTGACCTCAAAATCAATAAGGGTCATCTACTAGTTGTGACTAACCTCCATGCGGAATATGAAGACTGCGGGTCAAAGGATTCTTAAGTTATTGGGCGGACAAGCTTTTTGAGGTCAAGGCCCCTGTGACCTTGACCTTTGACCTGGTGACCTCAAAATCACTAGGGGTCATCTACTAGTCATGACTAACCTCCATGCCGAATATATAGACTGCGGGTCAAAAGATTCTTAAGTTATTGGGCGGACAAGCTTTTTGAAGTCAAGGCCCTTGTGACCTTGACCTTTGACCTGGTGACCTCAAAATCAAAACGGGTCATCTACTAGTCTTGACTAACCTCCATGCCGAATATGAAGACTGCGGGTCAAAGGATTCTTAAATTATTGGGCGGACAAGCTTTTTAAAGTCAAGGCCCCTGTGACCTTGACCTTTGACCTGGTGACCTCAAAATCAATAGGGGTCATCTACTAGTCGTGACTAACCTCCATGCCGAATATGAAGACTGTGGGTCAAAGGATTCTTAAGTTATTGGGCGGACAAGAAAAAAACCAAGACGCCCGACGGCCAGACAGCCGCACGGACAAGCTGATTCCAGTATACCCCCCTTACAACTTTCTTGTGTGGGGGTATAAAAAGCTAGCTAATTGATAATTAAGTTACCTCAATTTATATTTGTGTTTTATTTACAATATCCCTTGTACGTTTTGTTTGATTTTCAATATTCCCGAAACGTTCTGTTTGATTATCAATTTTCCCTTTATGTCCTGTTTGATTTACAATATCCCATACATGTTTCGTTTGATTTACAATTTCCCCTATATGTTTTGTTTGATTTACAATATCCCATATACGTTTGCCAGTCCATTTTTGTTATATCACCATTACATTTATGATAGTAATATTCATCATTAAAACTGATGTAAATTGATAGAATTTGGATAATTATTATGAATAAAAGAACTTTTCTTCTTAATTAATTGCATTTAAAGTTAGAGTCAGAAACTGTTGAACCTAAAAAAGAAATAAAAATGTTGTGTTGATTTAAATCAAATGCTTAAACTTTATTGAGCAACTAGTACTTCAGTAAATATCATCATAGCCATTTTCAAATACACATTTGTTTATTTTCTGCGCCATATACATGTATATTTTATATGCATCTACATAATAAAGGTGTACATGTATATTTTGTGAAAAAAAATCCAATGATATAACTCGATTTGATGATCACTTCTCCCTAAATTTCAAAACTTCTCCCTATTTTTCCTGAAGGGAGAAGTCACTTCTCCCTAAATTTTCAGTCCAAGGTAGTCCCTGAAGTTTGGATGAAATTGCGCCAGTAGTTTATGAAAAGTAGTCCGGACAAGTTTTGTGATGGACGGACAGACAGACGGACAGACAGACGACGGAGAAGTGATCCCTATATGTCGCCACTACTCCGTAGAGGCGACACAAAAATGATAATACAATGATTTGAAAACAACTTTCAAGAAGAATATTTATTATTAAAAAATAAACAAAGTAAAGTTAAATTGTTTCTTAAATTTGAATTTCATGCGTGGCAAATGTTATGTATCAATCAAAATGGATCAAATTGAAAATGTCCAAAGTTATAGAAGTCTGTTGGATCAAGCTAAACTATGCATGTACATTTACTTTCCAGAAGAATTGTCATCGATATTCTTCTTCATCTATAGTGAATACACATTTGAAAAAAATGATAATTTTGACTAATTTATTATTCATATCTAGAAATTATGGAAATTCCCCCATAAATATACAGAAGCAGGTGTCAAATTGTATAAAATTATGCTGTCATTAAAAAATGAACATATGTTATCAAAGTGATTGATAAAAAATTGTCAGAAAAAAATCATGCAATGAGCATAAATTCATGAATATGACATATTATAATTGTATGAACAAAACATGTATTTTGCTGAAAAACAGGCATGAAAGTGAATTAATTATAGACAAGTAATTCAGTAACAATAAGTAATTAGGCCTATTTTTTATATTGGTGTATTTTAAGCCAATATTTGTCATCTGATATATAGATATATCATCAATATGCTTTACACAGAATGACAGCTCTATTTTCCAGCCCCTTTGAGAAGTTTCTAGCAAGGGGTTCAACGTACAGTAAATTATTGGGAGATACATGTAGATTTAATATAGCAATTAAATTAAACCGACAGTCTTTCTTAATCAAACTAACTTTATAATTTCATTTCGACTGAATTAGTTACCCTTGTTTATACAGTGTGAAGGGTTGACCCATTTTACAGACTGTTTTTCTCCTAGGACTACTGTCAAACCATGTACATGTATCTTTGATAAGTCTATTTAGTTGGTTATCAAAAATATATAGCCTTATTTATGAGCCGTTGAACAGTTTTACACATTGAACCAGTATTACTGCTACATGTATACACGTATCGGTTACCCAAATTGTACAAACTTTTTCCTACTGACAAACAGTTGCCGTGAGTTGGGGGAAAAAACACCGCCCGTCAAAATGTGATGGATGTCGATGGCGTTTGAATTTTGAAAAAAAATAAATCAAGAGAATGAAAGATTGTCAGTGAGTCAAGCTTTGTGGAAAAGTTTTACATACTTAGCATTTATAAATGAGATAAATTTTGTTTATTGTCAACATTAATATCGTTTATTGCTGTTTACCTTTGAAAGTGAAAGTAAATTCGCTTGCTTCCGGGTTTTATAATCGTGATCAACCAGGCGCTTGCTTGACACAAAATTTTAACAATATAAACTTACATTAAAATTGCTAGTATAAGTACGTTAAGTGTATAAATCAAGACTGGATGCAAGCATTTTAAAGAATTGCATTACATGCATGCGCATTTTATTCTAGTTTTGCTCGGCAACTGAAGGAAAAGGTATTAAAAGACAAATTTAAGTAAAATTATTTTCATCTGGATGAATAAAACGCTTGAAAATGAAAATAAAATCGGATAGGACATTTCGGATTGTAAATGGTCACAAATTTTTGAAGATTAAAAATGTTATTGTGTCCTATCACTAAGTATCAAGTAAATCTATTTATGTCAAATTTTGTTAATGAGACTTTATGACAATTGTTAAGTAATTAGAAAATTGATCATTGAATAAATTAAATGTAAGAGAACTTCACACACATCATGACATGCACTTACACAAATGTACATTTGTATCAACTGCATGCAAAGACATAATATGAAATTAGGCAAAGCCTATGAACGGGGAAGTCGTTAAAAAATTCCTTTCATTCTTTCCGTTTTAAAATTGTCATTCGGTATTACATGCACAGCTTCCGTTTTCACTTGGAACACTCGACGTTTATTATTTATCCGAAGAGTTGAGATTTGTTCCGTTATCAGAATACCCCGCCTTTTATCATTGAGTTACATTGTAAATGGCGGCGCCCGACTAGAACTGACACTGAAAATTTCATTGATAGGTATAGAATTCTATATATTTTTTAATTGTTTTTTATTTGATTTTCTTTTAAATATACACGTGTAGTCTATAGCCGGGCAAGCCAAAGCCCGGACCCGCTTCGCGGGCCCGGTCTTTGACTTCCCCGTATTATCATGACATGTGCTTACATTTGTATCAACTGCATGCAAAGACATATTTTATATTGTGTCTGATTGGGGGGATGGCATTTAGATTTGCCCTTGTCTGAATGTTAGCACATGGATTGTACCGCATGTGCTTGAGTCATCAAACTTTACAGTAAAGTTGATTAGCATATGTGAAGTTGTGCACCTTGGGTTCGTGTCTTGATTAATTCAGTTTTATCAGAGTCACTGCCCTTGACAATGACATACTAAGGATTTGTAATTTCCAACAGTGGCAACTAGCAAAAAGTGCATGTACACATACATGTATGACCTGGAGTCATGAAATTTTAAAGAAATGTTGATCTGCATGTGAAGTTGTGCACCTTGGGGGTTTCTTGAGGATTTATTTATTATTCATAGAGCAATTGCCCTTGACTTAGTAATAGAATTGCATTCTTTAACTTGGGGTTTGCTGTACATCAGTAGACGAACAAAAAATGGAGTGTGGCCCTGGGTTCATCTGTATCCTATGGACAAATTTCTAGTTTTTGTTTAAACAGCCAAGATTTTCAGTTTTTATGTTTTCAAGGTTATTTGATCTCAGTGGAGTACCCTCTACTTTTGGAGTACATATTCAAAAAAACAAAAATGTATAAAAATATGTAAAATGAAAATTTGATATGTTTTGTAGTGTCTGTTCTTTGTTTTAATTTGAAGGAAATATGAGCAATGTTCAAAACATTGGATCCAGCCATTTAAAAACTTGAATGAAAATGTTGTCATAGGTGAAAGTTGTTAATCACTGATAAAAAGCTGGAGGCTATGGAATTAGATCCTGGAGGTATGATTTTCTTTTCTTTTCCCCCTATATGATACACAGAGCTCTGTCACAAATCATGGTTCTTCTTTTATAAATTAACTCTTATTGAGCTTATTGTTTCAATCATGATAACTTCCACTGATAAATTACTGTATATGTGGAAAATTTTGCAACATTGAAATATTTTGTGATTTTTGCAAAATGAAATTATTTGCAAATATTTGTTTAGGCAAACGTTCTTTTATCATTTTAAAAAACGTCTTCATACAGCATCTTACATGAATAAGTTTGACTGTTCAGGTACTGAGATAAATTTTTCTCATTGCTTGTTTGTTTAAAGTTACATTAAATAAATATGTAAAAATATTTTGCCGTCGGCCTAAAAATCAAACATTCTACAGTTTCATTAACCTGTTTAATAGTTTTGTTGTAAATCTCATCAAATATTGTTCATAAATAAGGATTTTAAACGGGAAACCCCACGGTAACACTAAAGTTCGTATACGAATTTTAACATGCAAATGAAGACTATAATGAGCTCGTGTATGCGCTACGTCACAGTTTTATAGTTGCTATCCGGAACACAGCAAATGTGATATTTTCTAGTGCAAACACACTTTAACCGTTTAAGCTTCACGGTGCACTAATCCTGGGGTTCAGTAAAAGTAATCATCTCGTAAAAAGATTAAATTTGTATGAAAACATCCGTTACGATGCGGAAATATACCGTTAAATTAGGACTGTCACTTATAGTCATGTTTGTTGATTTAATACTGATGTACGGATGATCCGAAGGCGGAGTTTCTCATGCAAACAGAAATTGTACTTCCCATTTCGCCACAATGAGGTTACCTATTTTTATGCTAATAAAACTCATTTTAGTTGTTTGGACACTAAAATAAGACCTGGAGTCGATATAAAACCCAATTTATTAATGAAATGTCGCTATTTAGTTTTTTATGAAATTTATTAAATGTAACTTTAAGTTTGGTCTTAACAAATCACAAATGTTTCAATGAAACAATATATGTGTTAATAACACTATAGTTTATTCATATAACAAAAGAATGTTTTAAAATATGACAAAGAAATGTGTGATCAGGTCCTTTATCAAACTAACAATGTGTATTTCAAACAATTATGTAAATAATAAAGTATTGAACAACTGAATGGAACGATTACAATAACGGCATATTCTTACCTGCTTTATTAATGATATCAGAAAAACAGTAATAAATTCAAGAAATCATATTTTCGCAAATATTTCTGCAAAAAGTCCACTCTTTGACATTTGCAAAATTTTTGTGACGCATAAATATCCACTTATACAGTACCAATTGAAATTACACATTTTTAAAAGGCTAGAAACATAATTATATTAAAACAGTGAAACTATTGAGTTTGAACATAAGTGTATAGAATAATATTTTAATATGGGAGTACATGGGAGACCCGTGAGGGGTTTGTCAATAACGGAAGATAGATAGATGTATAAGTGGCAATACTTGCAAATTATGTAAATTTATGGCAATTAATCATAAAAAATATTTGTTGATAAAACATAATATAAAATATAATGATGGTGCATTTAGTAAATTTATATGTCTCTCAAGGGTGCAATCTTGGATTTTAGCTCATCAGGGCTTTAAGCTTAAGGGTTCCCTATAGCACATAGATACTGTATTATTAGTGCATATCTTCAGGAAATGGATATGAGAATGCTTTAACCCATTACCAGATATATACGCCTTTCTACGCCTTTTTCACCCCCCCCTTTTTGCTTTCTCAAATGGTGAAAAAATGCCTTATTCAGGTCCCCAAACACTTGTTTTTGTTTGGGAAATGTTGTTTAAAAAATTGACCACTTTTTCGGCGCTGTCCCCCATCCAAAAGATACACCAGGGGGTTGCCAGAAGGGGGATGTACCCCCAAGAAAATTTTGGACTTGTGAGAGGCTAAAAATGACCCCAGGTCGATCATAAGGTAACGTGTAACCAATGCTGAAAAGCCTTTGACTCTATCTCAATCCATTGAGAAGTGGCAGCACTTTGAAATCAATTTTGATGGAAAAAATCAACGCAAAATAGTGATTTTTGGCAATTTTGAGATGTCCCCAAGTTGCCATGGTAACAGAAAATTTAACAAAGGCAATGGTCCAGTCAACATTTGTGCCAAGTTTGATTAGTATTGAAGCAGTTTTTATAGTTTTATAGCAACTTGAACTTGTAACGGGAGACTTTTCAATGAAAACAGCCATTTTTCACAAAATGCTCATGGGGTACATGTAATGGGTTAAATATGTTTTCATCATGATTTAGTTTCAATAAATCTGTTAAAAATAGGCTCAGGTAGAAACTCAGCTAGTCTGTTAGAGAATAACATTATGATTTTGCAATCATACATTTGTACATCACTATTTTGTGTTTTATTTTGTATATAGAGAGGGATAGGAAGAGAAAGAGGACATCAAGTGGAGGATGTACACTCAACTCACAACATGTGTATGTACTGTACTTATGTTACTGTCCTTATAAAGCTGATAAACTGATCAATAAATCTATTGTGATTGATATGTTGTTGATTATAGTTAGATATTTTATGTACATTTGTATATACTTATGTTAAGTAAGAATTTTAATTCAGTGATATTAGGATTTTTGCTGCACTGCATTTGTTATGGGTCTGTTATGTCATCTGTTGTTCTTTTTATCTTTAACCTGCTAACAGCAACTGAATTAACCCATGTGAAAAATGAAGACCAAAATCATGGGGCACATCTGTCATGGTCTGGACTTTTCAGCCAGTACTTATTTTGAAATTGTCCCTAAAAAGGATGTATGGCTTGTTCAGATTGAAAGATGGACAAGTCCATTTAAGATGTTTTGAATGAGGGTTAGGAATATTTAAAATATTTAACACTCAAGCAAAACATGTAGCATATTATCTCCATAACTACATGTAGTTAAGATAATCACAAGAAACTTCACACATGCTTTTTGGTGTTTATGATTTTTATTGGATTTGCACTTTGTGAATGGCTGTCGTTTAAATGTCAAGTATTGATGAAACTTATTAAGATTTCATGTTTCTGTTTCATAAAATTAAACCAGGAGAAGATTATTATTGAAATCTTCTCATAAAATTATTATACAGCTTGTTAAAGCTTTTAAAATATTGAAAGGGGGAATTAACAAGAATTTCAAAGTCTGATCCTAGCTTTTAATGGAACAGCTACTGATTTGTTTTGGATTAAAAAGCTGGACTGATTGCTCAAATCAGTTGTCTACATCTTTTGTGAAACCACTTGTTATGTCAAGATAACCTATAGGAAATAAACTAATCAGTTTTTACTTTATGTGAAAGACATACATGTATACTCTTAGTATATGGGGTAAATTTTGTTTTAACATGGATATTTTTATTTACAGGACCGAAAATTTGAATCATTATGGGGAGGTAATCCTGCACTGTACTGTCAACATTACATACAATATACGAGCATGTGGCAACTCTATTGTGTTGAAGTATGTGTGTGCTTTGTTAAACTCAGGGGGAGGTATACTTCACATGAGGAACCTAGATGCTGAAGTAGTTATGGCTAGATTTTTTTACTTTAAAATTTAGGAAATATTCAAATATATTAAATGAATAGACTAAAATAATGTGTAGACATTTGCTTCATTTTAATTAAAGCAAATGTGTATACTTTCATATCAGTTTATTTTGTTTTCAGGATAAAGTTAAACTTACTAAAGCTCTATGATGAAAGGCTGTAATTAAATTTAGATAACTTTTGAGTCCACTTATAGATTAACAGGTATACTATAATGATTCCATATACATATAAGAGAGAATAGTTAAGCCCCAGTAATGCTTAGACTAACCCTAAATCATTAGATTTAGCTATAGACATCTTTACCCTCCACTATCCAGGGTTGAAATGATATTTGAACAGGTGTTTGGGAAATATTTACTTGGAATTGCAAATGAGTTTTACTTATGTTGATACCGCCTCCGTGGTCGTGGGGTTAGAGTCGATGACTTCTAGCCCAGTTACCTCTCTGGCGTGGGTTCGATCCCCGGGAGATGCTTTGGTAGTTTGGCGCGGAGGAAGGTAGTCTAGTACTGGTGTAATTCTCCAGGAACGATGGTTAGGAAACTACCCGCCTATATGACTGAAATACTGTTGGGAAAAGGCGTAAAATGATACAAACAAACAAACAAACTTATGTTGATGATTGTTATTGGGCTTCATGGGCAATGGAGTTAATCAAATTAATATCAAATTATATGAACAAACTACGAGAATGGCAGTTGATTTTAGACAAACAGACATGTAAGAACTTGTAAATGTTACAGCTGTAAATAAATGCCACCATTATAGGAAGAGTATACTTAAGAAATAATATCAGTATCTGCAGTGTTTATCAGCTATTTAACACTGGTTTGGAGTTTTGATGCCGAAGAATTGACCATGAAGGATGTAGGCATAATTCTCCTATAAAACAGATAGGTCAGCTGAGGGCATTGTAACACAATATATGCATGGTGTAAAAAAGGAATGCTTACATGTCATGTGACCTGAGATGTGACTTCAATAAACCAAATGTCAGGAAAATTACTTATATGTAGTTTAACATATTTTATTAATTTTCTATAAGGATAGAAATAGATATCGATTTTTCGTGCGTTTTGGTATGATTATGCACACTTTATCATTCAAATGCTTTGTAATTAATCACTTTGGCCTTTTGTCCTTTGTGATTATATTCCTGCCCATTTGAACTCAAACAGTGCATTATTCTACAACAATATGGACTCAAAGTTGATATCAATTTCCTAAATGTAATATCGTTTTAGAAATAAACAATATCATTACTACTTGAAAAACTTATTATTCAGCGTGGTGTAGTTCTGTCCAAGCATCTGGACACTTGGTGGAGTGGGATGGAGATTAAGATGGCTGAGATATTGTCACGTGATGATATCTGTAATTACTTTGATCTGGTTGGTAACCATGACGATAAAGATCTCTACTTGTTTGTGAAAACTGCTGAGCATTTGTGTTCTCTACGTTACCATTGTAGACTTCCAACAGGTGATTTAGACTTACTTTTGATTATTTACGTTAAGCATTGTAGAAAACTAAATGTAATAAAGATTTTAAACTAAATTATGGAACTGTAATGTTGTAAGTTATAAAGACTGCCCCTCAAGAATCTAAATTTGTCCTTTAGTTCTACCATTTAGGCTTAAATCTGAACTACATGTATCCCCTTTTACCAATATGCCTTTTCTCATGTTAAGCATTGTCTCAGCTTTTGTGGAAGAAATTTCAAGCCTTAGAAATAAACATGATTGGAAGTATATAAAATTGCCAATAATAATATCATTGAGAAACATGAATTTACTATATGTATCCACATATTCATTTGAATGAGTCTTTGTTGATAATGTTGAATTTTTACAGAAGCAAATTTATGAACAAGCCTTAACTCTAAGCTAAAACTAATTGTGATTGTTACATTGCTAGTTTTTTGTATTGTAATTTTAGATTACATGGTCCAGTTTTGAATGTTCTCTTAATTTGATTTTCAGTAGAGCATAAACTTGTTAGTTTTCCTTCATTTTTCCTCATTTTGTCAACCTTGATTTAACTTATATCACCTTCATTTGTTGATTAATATTTTACAAAAATTTGTGTTTTCCTCTGGACTTTCGTATTTTCCCATATAGCAAGATCATGTTCTTAGCTTTGTTGAAGTTATTTGTGGATTGTCCCTTGAAGTTTCCAGAATTTTTGCATTGAATAGGCCAGGGTGTCTTGGGAGGGGTTAGACATTTGACCCTGAAACCCCTGTTGGATCTGTGTCCTATCTTGCATTGAACAGATTTCTCAGTTTATATTATATATAGAATATTAATTTTGATAATGCCATCTGTATATAGTATAGATAATATAATTAATTGATGTATATATATTTATTTAGACACAGCAACTCATGAGGTAACTTACCAGTCACTTTTACGTCTGCTTGTGAATCACGGAGAAGCTGGAAGTCTGCAAGAGTTACCTCCCATTCCAGACAGATATATATTTGGTAGATCTGCTGAAGAATTGAAGAAAGAAACCAAACAAATACAGTTTAAACAGTTATCAGCACCACAGAATAAGTATAACAGGCTTTATGTACTTTAATAATTTGGAAATTATTTTAAAATTTCTTTTTGGTATGAATAGTAGCGCAGCTTGCCTAAATTTTCATAAGTTAAAGGCACATTATGCCTCAGAAACAAATAAAGTTTTTGTTCATTAGAAAGGACAAACATAAGTTAATCATGTTTAAATTAAATTAAAAAGTGGTTTTCTAGCGGTTATAAGCTTATTACCAGAAAAAAGTAGAGCTGAATTTTGTTATTTGTCATAAAAGTAGCAAAATGTAAAAGTTGTATTTTGACTTCCATAAAAAATAATTCACTATAACTGTACTAATTCCTAGAAAGGAAAGAAATGAAATATTATTCATTTAATTGGTAAATGAGCAAGTTTTTGGAAACTATATAAACAGAACACCAAATATAAACAACTTTTGAGAAATAAAATAAAAGCCTTTCTTGGAATAATTGTTCTCTTTAACATGATTTTTTTGTATGAGAAGGGAAACAGTGTATCATCTGTATGCCAGGAATATTTTCTTTGATGTTTTCTTCATTGTCATACATTAACTTTCTTAAATCTCTTGTTTAATGCATTTGCAAGAAAATAAAAAATAAATCGTTGATTACAATTTATATAAAAAATATTTATTCTAAAATTGATAAAGGACTTTGTAAAGAAACTTCAAATGACCGCTTACCATTAGAATGAAACTATTAAAGGTGAATGACAAGGTACAGTTATTAGACAAGGGGCATAGTTCTCAAAGCTATATTTTTGAGTTATGCCCCTTTTAACTTAGAATTTTGTCAAAAGTGATTATTTAAAATATGAGAAGTGTTAACACCACATGATGTGCTCTTGTTATTTCTTAATAAGTACACAATATTTGTTCATGACAAAACAAGTCATGTAATATAAAGTAATTTTAATAAAAATCTTTTCTTAACATTACTAATATTTTGTTGAGAAATTATTTTATTTTATATAACATAGATCAGGAGGAAAGAATACACTACCAGACCGAGTTAGTGGACTGATGATAAAGTATGTGTCTGCCTTTGCTAACCATGAAGGTGGTCATATCTACTTTGGTATAGGAGATGCTCGTGCATCTGTCATAGGAGAAGAGCTAACTCTACCTGATCAAAAAAATTTAGGTAAAGTGAAATTTTATCTGTCAAATGTAGTCAAAGAAATTAGAAAATAGGAAATCGAAGTGTGGATCATTTTTGATTTTGATCAAAATCTTTATAAGCTTCTTTATAAGCTGTGTTTTTGTTCCAATATTATTCAAAGATTTGGCAGTTAGTCCAGGATAAATAGCATCACATTTCATATTTTGTTACATATAGGGCTTGTCCTTTGTTACCAGTTTATACTCATAATTGTATATTAATAAATCTGTTTTTTTTTTAAAAATACTGCATATTTGTAACATTGGGTTTCATTAGATAATCATAACATTTATATAATCTATATGCATGGCTGCTGTCAATTAAGGAAGTAAGTTTCGTTTTTAGCTCGACTATTCGCAGAATAATCGAGCTAATGCAGTCACCCATTTGTCGGCGTCGGCGTCGGCGTCGGCGTCCCTGTGGTTAAGTTTTTGTATGTAAGCTGGTATCTCCATAACTACTGAAGGGAATGGATTGAAACTTCACACACTTGTTCTCTGTGATTATCTAAGATGATTGGCACAAGTCCCATAACTCTGATTTGCTTTTTTTCATAATTATGCCCCCTTTTTCTACTTAGAAATTCTTGGTTAAGTTTTTGTATGTAAGCTGGTATCTCCATAAACTACTGAAGGGAATGGATTGAAACTTCACACACTTTGTTCTCTGTGATTATCTAAGATGATTGGCACAAGTCCCATAACTCTGATTTGCTTTTTTTCATAATTATGCCCCCTTTTTCGACTTAGAAATTCTTGGTTAAGTTTTTGTATGTAAGCTGTTATCTCCATAACTACTGAAGGGAATTGATTGAAACTTCACACACTTGTTCCTTGTGATTATCTAAGATGATTGGCACAAGTCCATAACTCTGATTTGCTTTTTTACATAATTATGCCCCTTTTTCGACTTAGAAATTCTTGGTTAAGTTTTTGCGTGTAAGCTGGTATCTCCATAACTACTGAAGGGAATGGATTGAAACTTCACACACTTGTTCTCTGTGATTATCTAAGATAATTGCCACAAGTCCCATAACTCTGATTTGCTTTTTTACATAATTATGCCCCTTTTTCGACTTAGAAATTCTTGGTTAAGTTTTTGCATGTAAGCTGGTATCTCCATAACTACTGAAGGGAATGGATTGAAACTTCACACACTTGTTCTCTGTGATTATCTAAGATGATTGGCACAAGTCCCATAACTCTGATTTGCTTTTTAACATAATTATGCCCCTTTTTCGACTTAGAAATTCTTGGTTAAGTTTTTGCATGTAAGCTGGTATCTCCATAACTACTGAAGGGAATGGATTGAAACTTCACACACTTGTTCTCTGTGATTATCTTAGATGATTGGCACAAGTCCCATAACTCTGATTTGCTTTTTAACATAATTATGCCCCTTTTTAGACTCATGAATTCTTGGTTAAGTTTTTGCATGTAAGCTTGTCTCTCCATAACTACTGAAGGGAATGTATTGAAACTTGAAGAGTTTGTACCTTTTCGGACAATTTTATGTATTCATATAGGTAAGCATTATTATACTCAATGAAACACCCTTGTGACAAATTTTCGAATAGTCGAGCGTTACTGTCCTCCGACAGTTCTTGTTCCTCAAAACAAGTTATTCTGCTGTACTATAAATTCATTATAAAGATGTGTGACATGTTATATGGCTGTTGTTTGCAATATAACCATTTATACTGAACCATATAACCTATCAGATATCTTAATGGCTAATAATATATTGGGTATGTTTATTGTTTTTCTACCAGAATGGTTGGTAACAAACAGAATGTACAATATGATGTGGAGAGACAGTTCCGTGAGGCCAGTCAGAGGTGTTCACTGGGATATAAACTTCTACCCTGTAGAGAAAACACCTAAAAATGTATGTAGAAAATACACATTAAATATTGCTCAATAAATCACCTGGCTAGTTGCTAGTTTGAAAAATAATCATGTGAAAGTAGCTAAAAAACACATGAGTTAAAACTTTAAAAAATATATAATAAAGACAACATTTGTATATGAAAGGCAGCTAGAAATCAATTTTAAAAGTTGGATTGAAATATAATCAAGTTAAATTCCACAAATTAGGAGATCAAGTGCTTTTGCTATAGAGCAGATTTTTTTTTGTGAATTTTTTGAATCCTGTGACACAACAAACAACTTTGATTATCATATGCATTAAAGTTACTTATCATATATAGACAAGTTATATCAGTTACTTTAAAATAAGATAAAAATGAAGAAATACAACACATCAACACCATTGCAGGTTGAGTAATTTAATAAGTTACTGGTTTAGGTTCTAACGAACCTTCATCACTAAGCTTAAAGTGAGAACTCCAGCGATAATTGGCAAGCATCAGTATGCTGATTTGTTGCCTACAAAGTTGAGTGAAAGTTTATAGTTTAGTCACAGATGTAGATCTATGTCTCTGGTTAAGTGTATATTCTAGTAATCCATGCACTGTATTTACAGGCCAGTAGAGTAGTAGTTGTTGTGTCTGTGTGTAAATTTCCTGGTGGAGTTTTCACCAACTGCCCCACCAGTTCATACATCAACACAGAGGGTCATGTGGTGGACTTCACTTTTGACCAGTGGAAAGAAGCTGTCCTTAACCCACTGAGAGGTATAGTAATGGTTCAGTAATTTTATTTTAACCCTTCACCTGCTGGAATCAAATTCACAAATGTATGATTAACATTTGCCACCAGTATAGCGACAGGTCGGCCCAAAGAGAATCGGCACAGTGTTGGGATAGTGTAAAAAAGTAATCCTAGAAAAAAATATATATTGTATATATAATATATAGTAAATAGTTGTATTTTGAAATCCTCTAAACTTCGAACAGACTGTTGTGCAAATCTATTATAGAAAATTCAGCATGTTAAGAGCAAAATTGTAAGAAATTAGTTATAACACAAAGCTGTATTTAAATGTAGAGTAAACTACGATGTCATACACTTAAAATCTGTATTATTCCGCAAGTTCACATTTTTTTGATTTTCCTAGACCATATTTGACACAAGAAAATTTACGGATATGTACACCATCATGTTATCTCAAATTTGTTATGGAAGTCAAGAAAGAAAAAAATGATAAAAAATAAGCAGATGTAAATTATTCTCAGGAATGGATGAATATTTAAACACATTTGGTTACGTAAAACAAGATGGTGGATATTGATCAACTCTAAGGGCCAATCAGTCTCGTGCAAGGGATTGTGGGTCAGGATTGGAAAATTTTCTACTTTTAGACCTTCTTATCCCTCTGTAATATAAGTCTTTGATTATAACATTATTTATGTAAATTTGTTCATGAAGGAAACTTTCAGCTTTTTAGCTCACCTGAGCATATGCTCAGGGTGAGCTATTAGGATCACTTTTCGTCCGTCGTCCGTTGTCCGTTCACACTTTTAAAACAACATCTCCTCTGAAACCATAAGGCAGATCATAATGAAACTTCACAGGGATGTTCCTTGTGTGAAGCCTTAACAATTTTGTTCAAAGAATTCCATCCCATGCAGAACTCTGGTTGCCATGGCAACCAAAAGAAAAATCTTTAAATATCTTCTTCTAAAAAACCCAAAGAGCTAGAGCTTAGATATTTGGCATGAAACATCTTCTAGTGAGTATCTACCAAGTTCAAATAAAAGCCCTGGGGTCAAAATTGGCCCCACCCCAGGGGGTCATTGATTTTTCCCTATATGCATAAAGTAAAAACTTAAAAAATCTTCTTTTAAAGAACCTAAAGAGCAAGAGCTAAGATATTAAGCATGAAACATGTTCTAATGGATGTCTACCAAGTTTGTTCAAAGAAGAGCCCTGGGGACAAAATTGGCCCTGCCACGGGGGTCATTAATTATCCTTATATGTGTATAGCAAAAACTTAAAAAATCTTCTTTGAAAAAAACCAAATAGCTAGAGTTTAGATACTAAGCATGAAACATCTTCTAGTGAGTGTCTACCAAATTTGTTCAAATAAAAGCCTTGGCGTCAAAATTGGCCCCGCCCCGGGGGTCATTGATTTTCCTTATATGTGTATAACAAAAACTTAAAAAAATCTTCTTTGAAAAAACTCAAATAGCTAGACTTTAGATATTAAGCACGAAGCATCTTCTAGTGAGTGTCTACTAAGTTTGTTCAAATAAAAGCCCTGGGGTCAAAATTGGCCCCGCCCCAGGGGACATTGATTTTCCTTATATGTGTATAGCAAAAACTTAAAAATCTTCTTGAAAAAACCAAAATAGCTAGAGTTTAGATATTAAGCATGAAACATCTTCTAGTAAGTGTCTACAAAGTTTGTTCAAATAAAAGCCCTGGGGTCAAAATTGGCCCCACCCCGGGGGTCATTGATTTTCCTTATATGTGTATAGCAAAAACTTAAAAATCTTCTTCGAAAAATCCGAATAGCTAGAGTTCAGATATTACATTTTCTAGAAAGTGTCCACAAAGATTGTTCAAATAAAAGCCCTTGGGTCCAAACTGGCCCTGCCCCAGGTGTGTCATTGTTTTTAACTATATGTGTAAAGAAAAAACTTGACCAGCTAGACCTTAGATGTTTAGCATGAAACATCTTCTAATGGGTGTCTACCAAGTTTGTTCAAATAAAAGCCCTGGGGTTTGAACTGGCCCTGCTATGGGGGCCTATATACAGGTGAGTGACTCAGGGCCATCATGGCCATGATGGCCCTCTTGTTTTAACCACTCTTAATTCTGCTACCTGAAAAATATCAGTAATGGTGTCCAATGAAGAAACATGGTTGTGACCTTACCCCAGTAGGGGTCACCTAGTACAATGTCATAAAAATCATATTTTAATGGTCGCTCAACAACCCTTTGCTTGGTAGATCGCAAAGAGAAATGGAGCAAAAACGATGACCTGATTTTAATGAGATTGAATATCAAGTGTTATAATGTATACCCATGTACATGATTTTAAACTGTTGATTATAACTTTAATGTGATTGTTTGTTTCAGATGTACCAGAATTACATCACAGATTTCAGAAGTTATCTCTGATGGTACCGAGGGCACCACTGGTGTTTACATTACCTGACACTGTACAGATGATCAAAACTAAAGTACTTCTTGGTAAGTTTGAATCAACATCTCCAAAATTAAATGTGTGCTAGATATGTAAATTAGGACATGTTTTGATTACAGGGGTATCATTGAACTGTTTGGCTATGCATAGATTCCTACATGACCCTAGGGTCTTTCAAATAGAAGGATCCTCCCTGATGGCCCTAAATTTTTCAATTTAAATTATCAAATTAGTGGATTACAACCAGAATTTCACCACAGAATATTTCTTAATAGAAGAACACATGTCAATAGATTAGTTAAATTTAATGTTACATGTGTATATCAAAAAATAGGTCGGAGTAGGGATTCATCAATTAATATTAAATATGATAACAATTTGCCCCCATTTAAGTGACAGTATGTTGCATTTTGATGAACGGCATTTTTTTTATATTTAAATTTGAAAAACTTCCAGAATCATCTTTTTTATTGTGCAAAATAGCCCAAAAATGAAAAATGTTGCAACTCAACCGAGTTAAGAACTGCACAAAAATTGATATTCAGTTTAGTTTTGAATATGTTCTTAATTATTCTTTGCAGATTTTTTTCTATTTTATGTGCTTCACTTGATCATTTTAAGAATTTCAAATTTTATGTTTAAAGCATTTTGACCTCAGTGGAGTCATTAATAATGAATGCTTTGTTTCTTTGTTTACCTGTATAAAATTCTAAAGCATGTACACTTAATACCATCAATGATTTTGGTTTTCACTGTCAATTTCAAGAGTATTCTATTGACTAAATTTATAATAATGAAAAAAGTCCATTTAAAGTAGCATGCCTTCAGACTCATGCTCATTTTCATGAAAATTTTGAAAATTGTATTTAAAAATGAAATATTGTGAAGTGAATATAGAAAGTAATTTATGTATTGCCTTCACACTTGCAATCCACATAAATTACCAAAGGTAAAAAATAATACAAAAATAGCCCTTACTGCGTTAGTCATGCAGGAGAAATTTGGTGATACATAATGCAAAAACATTATTCATCACACATAGCATGTGAATTATTACTTGAATCTTGTTACTTTTCTGAAAATCTTTGTACATTTTCTTCAAGTTTTATTTTCTTGAAATATATTGGCTAATCTTGAGGCATGTAGCTTTTAGGTATTAAGGAGTGTAATTGGTTGTAGGTTACTGTATATCAGAACAAACCACACACGTTTTTATACTGTATCACTCGAATCACAGATGTCTCATTATGATGATGTTGTTGTTTATATTTCAGCTAAACCAGATGAGGTTCAACCAAGATTGTACATTGAAAGTTATGCAGAGACCAAATATAGAGAAACCATTAGAAATGTATTTAGTTACTTCAAGGGAAAGAACTCTATTTGCCTCGGTATGGAGTGCTGGGGACTGAAAATACCCATGATGCATTGCAATGATATTCTTTGCGACATTGCTGTAGTAACAGAGCTGGACAGTATACATGTGCTGACATTAGTTTTCATGATTACACCACAGATTGAGCATCATTCTCAGACAGTTGCTGCTGTTTTGAAAAACAAACTTGTCCAATATGGTGGCTGTACGGAGAAATTCAGTGTTATTTCACATATCATTGACTTAAGAGAGCCCAACATACATGAGATTTTAGATAGGGAAATGTCAATTAGAGATATATACCCAACTCATTTTTGCTCAAATAAAAGGAAATTTGAAAAGATTATAACCTCAATGGCTATCAGCATGGGTGCTTACATGGCCAGATCTCAGACAAATACCTCAATGAATCAAAATGGCAGCTATTATTTTCTACTGACTCATGATCAGTTTGAGTTACTATGGACGCAGCAGTTTGTGAGGGAATTATGGGTACATGGTCCGGCAGGGGCTGGTAAAACTGTGGCGGCCATTCAGATGATTCAGGAATTAAGGAGGCGGGGCTGTAACTTTGATAATATACTCTACCTGGCTGAAAATGAAAAATTGTGTGACTTTGTCAGGTATGAAAGACTTTTGCATTGTTCAAAGTGAGATGATTATTTTCAGCTGTGTTTCTGATGGTTTTGACAGAAATTAAAAATTTAGCTATTAATTTGTAGATAAAATTTTTTCAAAATTATCTTTATTTTATTACAGCTTTAATTACAGCTGTGATTTTAAAGAGCATACGTATTTGAGCTGATGATAAATATAATTATAAAGTATTATGTTAACAATAAGGAAGGCAAGTTGAAGGTTTGTTGAGATTTAGCTTGTCTGCCCAAACAAAAGGCCAAGCTACTATGATATGCATCATCATCATTGTTGTTGCGGCGTAAAAAAAAATTAATGGAGCTTATTACTCAACCTACTTTAAAGGTATCCATATGAAACTTGCAATGGTTGTCCTTTACAAATAATTGTTATCACTTTATGAAGCGCTCCTGTTATACAGTATATTGTCTTTGTTATTCTGTAGAATTCTATTATAGATCTCATGACCTATGCCTTGTCACAACAAGAAGAACATTGTTAGCAGATGAACCTGACAAAAATCTAATGAACAGAAAATATGGAACAGTGTGCAATGTTATTGTAGATGAAGTCCAGAATTTCAAAGACAGAGATGGTGACTGGTACTCATTGGCTGAAAAACTAGCCAATCAGAGGGCAGCAAATCATTTACACCGGTGTTGTAACTATTTTTGGCTGTTTATGGACTATGCTCAGAAGGTTCATAAATTTGAAGCAGGATTACCTTCGGTGATCGGGAAGAATAATTTCATGCTCAGTGAGGTGAGCAGAAGTACGAAGGAGATTTTTGATTTCACATCCCGTTTAATGATGGCGTCAGAACATGCAGAGAATATTTGCAGTCCTGTATTTCAGCACGTCCAGAGTCTTCCAAAACTGGCACACAATTTCTCATCAGGGAAAGGTAATATAGTATAATCTTAAAGAAGAATTTATGAAATAGAAAAGAAAACATTTTACTGATTTATTCATTGTATCAATTAAAATATCTACATAGCACTTATACATTTAGAAGGTATTGAATACTGTAATTGTTTACGCACAAGATTGTACAAAGAAAATGTTTTACAATTAACTCTTAGAACTGAAATCATACTTCTAGTTTTGTACTGTGTTTAATAAAATTTGTTAGTTATGATTTTGAGATGAATTTGAAAGTGAGTATTATCATTATATTTTATCTTAAAAGACAATTTTGTACATTTTTTCTAATGTAAATACAGCAATTTTCAGTGGAAAGAAAATTAACCAATATCTATTGCTTTGTTTTAATCATATTTATATGTCCAACACATATTAATGGGGTTTGTTCAGATTTTCATAACACATTTTACAGAAGGCCTATAATAAAAGGAGAAAAAATAATGAGTGTACTTTACTGGTAGTTGCACAATAGCCTAAATTAAACCTGTGATTGTATCACTCTTGTTGATTTCATAAGTTATTTCTACCAAGCCTTGCATTCTTATGATTTTCACATTATAATCAGATTAAATATTTCTAGATGAGGATAAATGTTGAATACTTATGAATATAAATGTTTCCCAACTTGAAATTACTTTTATCACCAGGGGTGGACATTTTGTCATGTAAAGAGGCAGAAATGAAGAATTTGCTGAACAGGGTGGTGTCAGGCCTGCTGAAAAATGGCGTCCATGAAAATGATATAGCCATCTTGGTGGGTAAAAGAACAGAACTTGATAGACTTCAATCAACTCTCTCTGATATACACCTGAATGAATCAAACACATCTGAAATGTCACAGAAACAACAAAATGAGAGGGAAATGTCCACTAGAAGGTATGAATTTTTCTATAGCCTACCTGAGCTTAATTAGCATGATAGTATTCATGAGATTAAAATTTTAGCAAGACTTAACTCCACTCAGGAATTAAGAATAATTTGGTAATCAGTAGGTACTTACAAACTTTTATTGTTACAGCTTAGAAAATAAGCGCAATAAGTTGACTAATCTTTTGTGATGGGAAGTGCACCATCACCATGAAGCTATAACAGTCAAAGTTTGTTTGTATCTATGGATTAGATGGGAAAAACCCACATTAGCCGAGTTTTGGATAACATCTATTTCTTACATAGATCAGCTAGGGCACTTAGATAGATTTGCATAATATAGTGAAGAAATATACACAGAAATAAAATGAAAATAGTGTAATTGAGCTATTCTTAGCCTGATAAGAGTGAAAAGCATTGCAATGCTTTTCAAACTCGGTTCAATTTTCAGTTAAAATAACTGTTCACAAAATACAGAGTGAGCCAATGATCTGAATTTTTGCACACATGTTATTGGTATAGAGCTACATGAAATGGACAATATGGAAAATTATTTCCAGTCCTGTCAATCCAAAAAATCTCAGTGGAGTCCCTTTAATGAAACTTTTCCACAATTTTTGTCTTAATAATGTCCGGATCAAGTCGGCATCATGTTGGTAATCTGGCTTCTTAAACTATGTCATATACCATATACTTTAAAGAAATTGCTTTTATTTCTCTGTAAGCAAGATTTTGATGTCATTTAATCACTTTCAAGCTGTGATAATTTTTAGGTCAAAGTCAGATATTTTTCAGAAACTAGGTCATTGGCTCATAAACTAGGTCATTGTAGAGTTATGATTATGATTTTAGTCACAAAAAAAATCCAAAATGCCAGTTTGAAAGAAATATATTGGTATATTTCTTTAAGAGTGAATGACACATGCACAGAATAATTCAAAAGCAATTATAACCCTATCAGCATAATGCTTTGTTCCTGACCATTTCATCCAGTTGAAGTACACTTCCATGTGTTTTGAATTACAGACACATTCTTTGTTACAATTCTTTCCAGAATTGACCATCAAATGTTCAGTTAGATATAGCTTTTTTACCCTTTAATTTTTTATAGATTGAATTATAAAACCAGTAAAACATGATTATAATGTTCTCATTTTCCCCACAAAAATATTATACCAGTGTTAATATCTAAGGTATCATAGATCATTGTCCATTTGCTGACTAAATACTTATCTTATTCACATTTTTTTCCATCTTTTATAGATCTGTTGAAGAGCATTTGAAACACTGTGGTTCAGATCAATATGTAGGTCAAAGTTCAAAGGGTAAAGGTCAGTCAGAAAAATTAGAAAGTTCTCAGTCGGAGTATGAAGATGTTTCTGATGACAGTTTGGAAGACTTTGATTCCATAGAAACCGGTAATCAATTCTCAGTGTTGTCCAGTGACAGTTCAGATCACTTAGCAACAAATGAAAAGGAAAACACCAGTATTGCCATGGAAACGGGCGGCACTCAAAAAAAATCCAAAGTCAAATTTTATAGAAATGAATCAGAATTTGAAGATTCAGACACCTCAAGAGATCATGAGAGTCCTGGTAAAAATAGCCTGAAGAATGAAGTTGTTAAGGAAAATGGGGTTGCCATAGATACTGTGAGGAGATTTAGTGGATTAGATAAAGCTGCTGTTATTGGGATAAACCCGTATGTGAATGAGGAACATGCAGATTTTAAGAAGTTCCTGCTGAGTTTGGCTACAAGGGCAAAAGATAATCTAGTGATTATTACAACATCTGATAATATTAAACAACAATTAGACAAATTTGTTTAGAGTGAATTTCAACTTGAGATAGGATAAAAATTTTAACATTTTGCTTAATGTAAAATAAAAGACAAATATTCAATTTGATCCTAAATGATGTAAAGAAGTGAAGTATTGGTTTATCACAAATCATTAAAAGTATGGTACGTGAGTAACCTAACATTCAGGTACTTGAAAACTAACCATAAATCAGGAGTAAAAAGTGCAAAGATGAAATATATATCATGTTAATCTTACTTATCAAAGAAAACGAAATTTGTCTTTTATGATTGTCGTGCCCTTGATGAATCACATAGAAAACAAATTACCGATGCTGACATATGTTCCTAGTATGATTTATTGGTTTGTTAGCGATTTCAGCAAATTATGAGCCATTTTGATCCTCACGTTTTATTTATAATATACTTTCTTAAATTCACACTAAGGTCATAGTGAAAGCTAGCTCTTATTATATTATTTTAATGGCACTAACACAATCTAGGTCATATAGTGCAGAAACAGGAAAGATAACTTTGGCTAACCTCGGATGTAACAAACTTTTAACAACACCAGGGGTCAAAACCACCTCACCTGCTGAAGCTAAGAGTTGCATAGACTCCATAAGGAGGGACAGTTTTTATGTCAAAGTTGTTTTGTTATTTTTATGAAGCATTTATATATAGACATATCTTATGTATTTGTTCTTTATTTGTTTTATAAATGGATAAATTCATATAATTCATATGTAGATTTATTTTGATAAATGTCGAATATACTCAGTGATTTATAGAATGCCAAGGGAGGTAACTAGACTCATATTTTAGGATAAAATTGTGCATGGTTTTGAAGCATGTATTTGTTTTGTTGTTTCTTTTTACTGAAGAAAGATTTAGGTCCCGGTTTTTATTGTTAGTACTTTTTATATACTGCTAGTATTTCTTGTTAGTTAGAATTTTAGCTCTTATAATATTTTTAGATTTTATACATATATATATTTCTTTGTTACATTTTACTAACCATTTAGAATAAACCCTTTAACCCCAGGATTGATGTTTGTATTGTTTAGTTAGTGTCGCACTGAACTGTTGTTGCAGATAAATTTAATCCCAAAGCCGGTCATAAAAATGCAATTTACATATATGTATCATTTAGCCTGTTAGGACAGTTCTTGACATACAGTACGGCAATTTTGTACATTATTTCTGCATGGCAGGAAGTGTTTGGTAGAATTTCCGTATGTAAAATTTGATTATGTAATCACAATCGGTCAAGGAAAATGCATTACTTCACAGATGTCGACCTGATTATTACTCCCAGGGTATAACTTCATATATGTCATGTTTATGTTCATTGCAAGTCATTCATTTCTAGGAAATTACATTACAAATGATCACGTGACGTTCATTCCCAGCGTCATAGATATATAATGACATGACGTTCATCCCCAGCTCCTATGGCTCGCCCATTGCATATGGTTCATTCCGGTGGCGAGGGTAAACAAACCAAACACACACACCCAGCTCCTAACTTCTAGATAGTAACGTGATTGATGTTTACGTGACATTCCTTCTCATAATTAAACGGTATTTTGCCCCCACTTTTATAGTATACATTATTACTATAATTTTTGCCTGTATCTTATTCCCAGTGTAAGTGTACTTCAAGTAAAGAAAAGCAAATAATACTTAGGTTGGTGTTAAGGAAATAAGGAAGTTTTTTTTACAAATAATCACTTTATTAAATTGTAAAAACATATTTGATTAACATTTATACATTTATTCAGTAAAGTAAGTTTTCATCTAAAAATAACTTTTGAAACGATAGTTTTACAAATCGTAATCAGCTAGGCTGCTTAAAATGTCTACATCTAGAATAAATAACTTATATGTTGGACTATAATAACAACTTTACACCTGGCATAAGGTCAATAAAATAATATCCATTTCAAGAAAATAGCGTCACCAATGTATAATAAAGTTGATGGAAGGTGTCGTCTGCGTTTCAGGATTGTTCATTACAATGTACCTCGTCGGATTGATATTTCCATCTTGTAAATTGTCGTCTGTAAATGTGGTAACGATTAAGCATAATGTAATTTCTAAATAAGCTTACGTTTGTTTTCCTTCGTAAGACTGATTCGAAAAAAATGTGACAAATTTTCAAAAAAGGTTGGATTTTTTAAGCAGCGTGCCTCCAGATTTCGCTAATTTTCATGAAAACGTACAATGTAAAATATTGGCCAGTGAACAAAAAATGTATTTTATACATTGTTAAGGGCATTTTCATTCCAAGTGAATTACCAAAAATATGTCAAAATATGCAAAAATAGCCCTTACTGCATTAGTCATGCAGTAGAAATATGGTGATAAAAATTGCAAAATCAGTCATTCGTTGCATATAACATGCAAATTATCACTTGAATTATGAATGCTTTTACTTTAATACATTTCTCTCTAAATTGATTTCCTTGAAATTTTTAGGCTCATCTGGAGGCAAGCAGCTTTAAGTATACTTGGTATTGTAATCATTTACTTAAAATAAGATAACATCAACGTTTGAGACTGTGTTACATTGTTAACAGAAGAGACAGGACAATGACGAGAAAAGTTAGTCCTATCGTCTGCCCAGCCATATTGCCAGTACCGCTGGCGTCGTTTCTGTAATCAACAAATCCTGAAATATAAACATAACATATAAGTAAGTAAGTAAAATGCAAATCAATGATTTATGTATAACCCAATATGTGCTCTGCATTTATTATTTATTCTATTGCTTATATATGGCAGGGTTGAGTCCCCCATACTGTAGAACACCACACAAATTATTTAAGAAACATGGATTAATTTAATATTTTATAGGGTTTTAGGGACTGTGAAGTTAAATATTTTGTAGGGAACGTCTAATTATTACATTAATTTTGTTAATATTAGGAACTTTTTATGTATTTATTTTCCGATGATATTCTTAGTTTTTTGCTATATTTAACATTTTATCAGGAAAAAACTGCATTGACGTTCAATTTAATGTGCTGACAGAAATAAGGTAATGTAATTCTTACTTGCAGCTCCAACTCCTTTGCCCTTTCCACTTGTCATCAAACCACCAGGCAATCCCCCTGCTCCCTCGGCACCTGCTCCTGCCTCGCCCCCGAGACCACCAAGTCCTCCAAACAATCCTGGCATGAACACTAAAACAATGAAAAATGAAGATACAGATACAATGTATAACAGTACCTATAAATTAAAACTACTTTACGACCCGTCATCGTTACTATTTTATTCTCTACATTACAGGTTGGAGATATTTTTTTCGGCAAACTGGTTAATAATTGTTTGTTTACTCCTGTATCAGTGTGCATGCATTATATTGTATGTCGCTGTTTGACAGATTGCACGTATATCACTATGCTGTGTTATATCTGCAATAACGTATGAGCCGCGCCATGACAAAACCAACATAATGGGTTTGCGACCAGCATGGATCGAGACCAGCCTGCGCGTCCGCGCAGTCTGCTCAGGATACATGCTGTTCGTTTACCAACTCTATTACAAGTAGAGAAACTGATAGCGAACAGCATGGATCCTGATCAGACTGCTCGGATGCGCAGGCTGGTCTCGATCCATGCTGGTCGCAAACCCATTATGTTGGTTTTGTACTTTCGGCTGCCAAGAATCGCTTGCACTTATAATTGATGAGTCATAATCTAAAGCTGGATAAAATTAAATTAACGGTGTAAATAAGAATAACAATAATCATTTCTGTTTCTTAAATCGTTACCGATAGCGTTCTCAAAAGAATTTTTATCCAAAAACTACCAGTGCCGTAAAGTTGACAACGAAACCTTCTGTTTAATGAAAAGAATGATTAACTTAAATTTAATGATTTATGTGTCAAGGTCTTACTGCCGCCCATTCCAGGCATCATCATTCTACCATCTTCCATCATATCTTCCATCATTTCCATAGGCCCCTCCCCCATCTCCATTCCTTCCATCTCTATATAAAATAAAGTAACTTCACACTCTGTTTCAAGTCAAAATAATGTGTATAATGATGTGATTAACACAAATGCATTTTAGAAAGAAATTCTTGTAGGTTAGTAGACGGAAGTGCACATATATCTTTAAAACCTGAATAACACATTTTGTTCGAGCATTGAATAGACAAACAGACGGTAGTGTTTCTTTACAAAGAGGCCACAGGGAAGACTGCCTAACTATGTTGCCTCTTTAAATTAAGTCTTTATTATTATTATTATTATTATTATTATTATTATTATTATTATTATTATGAAAGACTGATTATTTTATCGAAAATGCTACTTTATTTTTAGCAAATGGATTACAAATGTTACAATGTAGGTCTGTTTGTTGGCTATGTATTATGAATCATATATTTCTATAGCAAATTTTAAAAGGAAAGTCATTTTTACCCATATCATCTCCCATCATTGGTGGCATCATCCCGAGAGGTGGCATCAATCCTGCTGGAAAAGGCGCTGCATTTCCGGTTCCTGTCCCACTTCCGGTTGTGGGGGCAACAAATGGGTTAGCAAGGGGAAACGTTAGAGGCGAAAGACCTTGTGGGGCTTTCTTCATCATTGATGAATACATCTTCGATTGTGCTGTCATAGAATTGGCCATACCGTGGATGCTGAATGCGCAGTCAGACGGTGCTTAAATGTTTATAAAACATGTATTGTAACAAACGACAATTTCTACGACGGCGGTTCTAATCTTGCATCAGTTTTTTTTGTTTTGTTTTTTTAAAAAGTTAATAACTTTAGATTGTTGGGGTGTTCATTATAAAAATTATTACTCAGCCGAACAAGAGGGGGATACACATTTCGTCAAAGTTGTCGTCTGTAACGATATGACATAAAACATGTTATATAATGATAAAATTTATGAGCATATAGACTCATTGAGGGCGAAGATTTTGATTTTATAATATATTTTATAACGGACTCTGATATTATTTGATAAAAGACTTACTGTGCATAGCCCGCATGGACAGTGTAATTTCAGATTGACCTGCAGTGCCAACACATTTTTCATATTGGTCTGCCATGCAATTCATTGTCTTCGTGTATTCACTGAAAGTAAGGATGAAAACATTTTGGTCAACTATGTTTGAATATAACCGATGTTACCATTGGTCAAAGTTACTGCGAGATTAATGATCAATACATGTACATGCTTTAGATTAAAAATGTCATCGTTTCCTTAAATAATAAAGCAGAAAAGAATTCAATGTTACCTACAATGGTAGGGTCACTTCATTTCTTGCTTTCCTTAAAGCGGTCTTCAGCTTTTCTGAAGGTTAAATGTGTTATTTATAAATAAATCGTTTCATATAATTGTCAAATCAGAAGAATTAATTTAAGGGAAGAATGAATTGGTACATAACCCCTCGATACCCATAATCTACCGGTCCGCACATCTTCAATTTATATACAGGAACGAACGTCACTGCGCGCTATAATTAAATATGGTATGGTGCACTTTTCTTAAACAGAACATAATAGTTTTTTTCCCACAAAAATTAAAATCTGACGGCCGCTTTAATGGTTTAAAATCTTTACTGCCAAAGCAATTTCTTGTGCTAAACTCATATTATTGAAATAAAGTTCAGTATCAAGCCCATTTTGTACTCGAAGTCATTGTATTTTTAATACATGTATAATGAAATGAATTGTTGATTTTGAGTATTTTCGTTCCTCCTTTAGAATCGGTGGTGTGAAATCATAAGTTCATAAAACCTTGTGCAACTAGTACAATATTGATTTTACTGGACTCGTTCGCAGCTGCAAAACTTATATTAAACTTGACTAGCGTCTCGTCCAATATTGATTTACAGCTCTGTAATCGTTCAAAGAATTCAGCATTGTACTCGATATTTTTTAATTAGCTAAGTAAAATGAAATTCTGTCTTACCCGCATGCTTGGAATAATGCATTGGTGTCAACATTACAGGTTAGAATGTCGCATCTGCCATACACACAGCTAACACCTGTAATCATGTTAAGAAACAGTCTACAATCGTCTTTTCTAAAAATTGGAATATCGCTTTTTTCATATTTTCAAGCATCGACCTGGGCTAGGTAGCACTTCTGTAAAATTTGAATGCTTTAAATTCCAGGTATCGCTTAATTTGTGTAAGCCGAGGAATTATACAACACTTTATGTAGAAACCAGCTAGACAGCTATTTATCTAGAGAAGAGATGGCACTTTTTCTAAAAATCAAACAACGCTTTATCTCAAAGTCAGACAATGCTTATTTTACAGACAAACAACGTTTTGTCAAGAGAAAAAGAGTTCGCTCTTTATATAACGTTCCTGTAGTTCTTTACACTGGAGGAGATATAGCGGTTTATCAAAAAGTCTAACAACCAAAGACCAGTCAGATTTTATTCAAATACCAGACAGCGCCAAACAGTGCTTTGTCTTAAGAACAGATAGCGCGTTATCTTAAGACAAGATAGAACTTTGTCTAAAGGCCAGAAAACTTTTTTATCTAAAAACCAGACAGCACTTTGTTTAAAAAGCAGACAGACTTTGTTTCAAGACCAGACAGCACTTTGTCTAAAGGCCAGACAGCGTTTTGTCTAAAAGGTAGACAGACAAGACAGCGTTTTCGCCAGCGCCCCAAAACCCAGTTATGTGCCCCAAAACCCAGTGATTTGCCATACCTTAAAACGCAAAGGATGTAGAGCAATAATCTTTTGCCCAAAAGTGAAAGAACAAAAATAATATTGTTGCCTTCCATCATTTAAAATGAGCCGCGTCACGACAAAACCAACATAATGCGTTTGCGACCAGCATGGATCCAGACCAGCCTGCGCATATGGATGCTCGTATTTTTTTTGAAAAACGAATTAGAGTTAAATCAAGTTTTGCCAAATAACATTAAAGTTGGGCCCTTGCCATAATTTAATGTCCCATCAAAACCCATGAACAATTGACGCTATGGATTGAAACGCGATTGAGGGATTCATAATGACGTAGGATAATCTGTTTGCCCACAATGTATAATAAAGGCTCCTTAAAAAGCCGCGCAGCACAAACGTCACAGATGGTCCATGACACCTGATAGTCTGACAGAATGCAATGTCGATCTTCATTAAAAGATACAAAAAATAACAGCATGGATCTTCAACAGCTGCGTAAGGATGCGAGGTTAGAGTTCTGTATCCATCTGTCGATAAGGGCCATTATGTTTGGTTTGTCGTGACACGGCTCAAATTTACTTTTTATACGGAGGTATTTTGATTGCATTTATCAACCATCTATATGACTATTTATAATCATGCTAGATGTTTTAAACGAAACATATTGCGGCTGCAATCCCCGAAAAAACTTTAAGCAATTTGAGTGGGAGCTTCCATGGTAACCAAAATATGTCTTAAATAAAATTGGTAGCGTATTTTTTTATGGCTCTTCAACTTTGATTCATATTTATGCATTTTAAATCGACCTTAATCATCGTTCCATTATGTCTACTCTAGTCAATTGTTTAACATGATGTTAGTGCCTGTTTATTGTTATGTATAAATATAGATTTGTTATATATTTGATCAACGTGAGATTGCGACATGCAGCAAGAAATATATCGTACTATATAATAAAGTTTGGTGGTTGAAAACATTTATTGGAACTTACAATGCAACACATTAAAACAAAATCAGCAAGGACGGTTCAACTTTGTGTGTGTCCCCTTCACCCAACTTCCTAACTTGTGAAATAATATATCTGAAATGACTATTTTATCAAATAACTTGTCATTTTTTTAAAGATTTTTTTTCAAGGCTCATATTTAAATGAATTGTGACTTACATACAAATATACATATCCATTTGAATATAATATCCATTGCTGAAATGTGTATCTCTCTCTATATTTCCGAAAAACTTTAAAATGTTTTGTTTAAAATACAGTTGTTTACATGACAAGATAATTAAGTCTATGTTTAATTACCCATGTCTAGTGATTATTGTAATTAATCAGAAGGCCCTTCTACAGGTTTCTTTGATAAATTTTATTTCTAGGTCTTAAATCTTTTTATCATTTTGTTTTCTTTAAAAAATATATATTACTAATTTCAAAAAATTTGCCGTAATGGAGATGTCGTATTTTTTGTTGTTGCAAAAAACTGATTTTATGAGTTAAATAAGTGTGTAATTCGGGCCTCATTTAATAAATGTGTAATTCGGGCCTCATTTAATAAATTCAAATTAAGTATATCGATTACGTTCGATGAACAATTGACTGTATTGTGTATTGAAGACGTCTGATTGATGTGTGGACTTCATAATGGACGTAGGTATCTGTCCATCCTACAATTTGTATACAGCTGAGCGCTTATATGCCGCAGGCACAACACGATCACGATGGTCACATGTTTGAAACAATGATTATCTAAAAAACTTTTTGACAAATTCATTTTAACATTTAAAAAGATCACCCATAAAAAATACAGATGGAAAATACTTTCAACAGCTTTAAGCGTAAAGGATGTTTACAAGGTTAAGCAGTTTTGTTTATCCACTCATTAATTTCAGGGACTTGATTGTTTTATGTGAGGAAGCTATCCACCTAGCTTACGGAACGACGGTGGTTCTACTCAGTTGCCCGTGTGTGCCTGAAATAGTGCACGGAAGGTCTTCCTCCACCAGTAAAACTGGAAAGTCGGTGCGACATAAAATCCAACAACAACAACAACAACAACAACAAAAATAAATAGATAAAAAAACAAACAAAAAAAACAAACAAACAAACAAATAAATAAATAAATATTTCAATATCTGCAAGCTTAATGAACTTGTCGCCGAGATCGTTTTAAAAATTACGAAAGTTTATCATCTTTATGATAAAATATGTATTTATCTGAGAATACTCTGTTTTTCAGATTACTGAATACCCAGGAATTACATCCAATGCACGACTTGTTGAAAAACACCAGACTCGAATGCATATTATCAACATATAAATGTATTTGAGCCGCGTCACGACAAAACCAACATAATGCGTTTGCGACCAGCATGGATCCAGACCAGCCTGCGCATCCGCGCAGTCTGATCAGGATCCATGCTGTTCGCTTACAAACCCTATAACAAGTAGAGAAACTGATAGCAAACAGCATGGATCCTGATCAGACTGCGCGGCTGAACAGGCTGGTCTGGATCCATGCTGGTCGCAAACGCATTATGTTGGTTTTGTCGTGACGCGGCTCATTTATTGAATCGATTTGTATGTTAATATCAAGTTTTGAAACACATTTACTAGTAACTATTTTATATGTAAAAAACATTCCAAGTCATAACAGGCATCAATGCAAATTCTTTTGGCAATTCAACATCTCCGATGATTATGTTAGAATAAACTTCTGAATGTTAACAGTCCTGATTTGAACGGAAAAATGAGCTCATTGTTTGGTCATACGTCAATGAAAGTTTCTGCTGATGCAGAAATACAGTGTTCTGTATACGTTACTAGTGACCTTTCTATAACACTCTAAAATCTTCAAATAATAAATTTCTATAAAATTAAATAAAGACGGTACAAAATGGTATTGTAATGAAATTTTCTACAAAGTCCGAATAGGTGAGTACAATATCTTGTATTAAGCAAACATTGTCTTGCAGCATTGGTACATATACGTTATATGAAAATGTAAGGCTGATCGTCTCATAACCATCACCGGAAGTGACTGACGAGGAAGGAAACAATGTATATTACACTAGGGAAAGTAACTCAGCATGAGCACTTGAGGTTAGAAACCTCTAAATTAACGATTTTGTCAAACCATCCTCCATACAGTAACTTCCAACAAACAAACAACCACTGTCACAAAATATACAAACATTTGATAACGGTTAGTTGTATTTTTTTTGTAAACATATACAATAGAATTCAAGTTGTGGGATCTGGTAAAAATGGTATAAATCTTAATATCTTAGATTTTCTCATCCGGGCGGTCAATGGCGGGGTATAAATCTCTGGACCCTCGACATATGTGGTATTTTCCGGATCATCTACATTCTGCCACGTTGCTATCCCCCGCTCTTCGATAGTACCTTAAAATACATAAACATGCATTAAAGCAGCATATCTCCTTATCATGTTTATTTTCTTGAAAATTTTGAAAATGTTTTTAAATGTAAAATATTGTGAAGTGAACAAAGAAAGTAATTTAGTATTGCAAACGGCACTTATAATCTACGTAATTACAAAAATAGAGGATAAATTATGCAAAAATACCCCTAACTGCGTTAGTTACGCACGAGAAATATTGTGATACATATTGCAAAATAAGTCATTCATCGTACAAAATATGTTAATTTTCATTTGAATCTTGAAATGTGTTTACTTTTCTTAAAATCTTAATACATTTTCTCAAGTTTGATATTCTTAAAATATATATCCACTGGAGGCATGCAGCTTTAAATAGTTTATGCACACTATAACCGATAATTATTTTACATGCTCCTGACCCTTTTTATATGCTCGTAAGCTTTCCAAATATGCTAATTAAATTGTATCAATAAAATTATCTTTCAAGCGCGTGATATAAATGTACAAGTAGTCAATCATCACCAACGTTTTCACATATAGATGACTTATTTGGTAGATTGTTAATTACTTTATATTTTAACGAGGACGTGATGTGAATTACAATTCATTCGTTTTGTACATGTTATAGGTGAACCTGGCAGATTTATTTTTAATATATGAAATTAAAGATCATACCTGGGACTGTATTATCTAGAATACAGGCAAGAACGCCACCAAACATGTTTGGATTGCCAAGAAGAATTTTGAAAATTTCGTCTGCCTTTGCATTTCCTAAATTAACAACAACAAAACATCAACTTAAACAGCTGCAAATAAAATATAAAGCGAGTTTTTTTCCACGAATGACACCACAAAACCTGAAATCAGGTCTGAATGTATAAAATTAATACATGAAATAAAAGTGAATATATACATGTAGTTATATACAGTGCATCAATTGACCCTTCAGACGCAAAGATCACCTACCTTGACGCAAATATCACCTACCTTGACACAAAGATCACCTACCTTGACGCAAAAATCACCTACCTTGACGAAACTAGCATCAACTTTTAATATATCAATACGAAATATCCACCAGATTTTACTGATTATTTTATTTTAAATGAAGTTTATCAACTTATGTCAAATAAGTCAAACACGGCCTATTTTTATTGTAGCCCTTGTCATGTAATACGAACATGGTCATATTGGTCTTAAATTTTGACATTACTAAGACATACCTGTCTGTAACTCTTTCGGGAACGTCTCTATCCAGTAAGGCACCATCAACCCGGCAAATATAGCAGTTCCAATTATTGCTAGATTTCGACTCGAACTTAGGTCAATAACTTTTAAATTGGATAATACGACACCAGTGAACATGCCAAACATGGTAATTAAGGCACCACCTGTGAAAAAAGTTTCGAAAATTTACTCTTATTTACAATGCGATCTACTGTAGTTTTTTTTCCGGCGTAACATTATTTAAATGTAAGTGATTGGGAATAACGCCGCATCTAACTGACACTTGGCATGTGTCTTTTATTATTACATATTAAATTTTGCAGAAATCAAAAACCAAATAACACTGATGTTTAGATATTTATAAAATGTGTAAATCTTGAAAAACTTAATCTTGGAGATTTCATAAATCTTAAGATGGCTATTTCACAACTATTTTGATATTATTTCGTTTAAATGCAATTTAGACAGACTACAATTTCTCAGTTATTCAGTTAATTTTTTCTCCTTCTTTTCATGATATAACCAAATTCATTACCAAAAGACAATATGAGCCACGACAAAACCAACATAATGGGTTTACGACCAGCATGGATCCAGACCAGCCTGCGCATCCGCGCAGTCTGATCAGGATCTATGCTGTTCGCTGTCAGTTTCTCCACTTGTAATAGAGTTGGTAAGCGAAAAGCATGGATCCTGATCAGACTGCGCGGATGCGCAGGCTGGTCTGCATCCACGCTGGTCGCAAACCCACTATGTTGGTTTTGTCGTGACGCGGCTCATATGTGGTCTTACCTAAGACAGGATACGGTATACAGATAAACACTGCAGATATTTTGCCAATGATGCCAAATATTACATATATCATACCAGTCACAAAAAACACATGGCGACTTGAAACCTTTAAAAGAACAGACATTTAAATAAGTTTTATAATATTCGTATCGTTTCGTCTCCTTTTTAAAAGGCACACATTTGTTATATAACATGATGCTAAAATGACTTTTCAGTGTCATTTACATTTGTTATTACCTCGTTGTGGTAAGACATCAAACCCTACAATTAATGACTTCACTTACCACATAAGACGGTGCTAGGGGCGTGAAGGATGTTGCACTTTTCCATTATACATCATGTGCAGACTCAATCAAACCCAGTCTGCAATTTTCATGTAATTTTGTTGTGATAAATGCTTCCGAGGAATCACACTTTATCCAGATTTTTACAAAATACCTTAAATTTTAAGACTTTAGTACAAAATGTGAGCGCGCAACTTTAACGGCAAATGTTTTCATCTTTGCTTTTGTCCTAGTGGTGCTTTTATTAGAATAGAAGCCTACCCTCGTAACCCCAATAGCTCCGATGTTCCCTCCGTAGGTCGTGGTCGCATGTCCACAACCTAATAAACCCGCTATAGCCGAGCAAAAGCCTTCGATGGCGATACCTCTGTTGACCGCATGTGATGGCGGCGGTGGCACGCGACACATTGATGCGCATGCGTAGTAATCACCAATGGAATCAAGAATAGAGGTGAAGGTCGCTATCATGAATCCAAGGAAAACACTCACGCTGAAGTCGATTGGTCCAAACTGCCCTAGAAAAAAATATATGGATCCGGAAATATCTCTTTGATTTTGCAATTTTAGAGGGAGATAAAACAAATCAAGTAAAAATACTATATAAGTACAAGGTATAATTATAATAATTGTATTTTAAAACAAATTACTTCAGTGTTTACTTAAACCTTATACCACTTACCTGGGTAAGGAAAATAGAACCATTTAGCTGTGGTGAGAATGTGACTTCTGGCGTCCGTTCGGGTGTAATAGGAAGTGGAATTTTTGTCGTCTGCTATTACGTCAGTTACAGTTAATATCCCACAAACTGCCCAACCAATCAGAATTGCAATAAGAATCTGCAAAAAATAAAAAAAATCGTCAATTTCGTTGAAATTTTAAGTGAACATTTAAAACCTGTTTATATTCCAGGATATCTTATCTATCTAAGAAAAGTTTATTTACAGGCTACAAGTTTCATGAACTCTAAAATGATTTGTCATTATTATTGGAATGCTTTGATTTAACTCACTGATATTGTATACCATTTTAATTTGAATTATTTCATTTTCTAATTCAAAGAAATGGCTTCTGCAAAAATGTTACATATAGTTTAAATTTATTTTTACTGCAGTTTTTACACTATTTGAACAACCCTGAAGTACAGTCTCAAATATTCGGATAAACATAAATTGGCGAAAATATGACCTTCACCTACCGCAAACATTTGATGAAAAGGATACCTAGTAATGTAACAGCCATGTTTTCTTGTCCATACCGGAAACGGAAGCTTCAGTTTAGACATGTATAGTGCCAAAATTAAAGAAATCGCGCATGTCCTGAAGTTAAAAATAATTGGGTTAATAGTTGGGTGGTTGGTAAATATGTAAAATGTAACAACATAGTTCATATTTTTTAAGCAGTTTCACGTTATATTTTTGATACTTAAATGTGTTAAGTGTTTTCATTTCTGATATAGGACATTATTTTATAGATGTTCTTATATCTAAAATCTATACGAAATTCCTCAATAAAGTGTCATATCATTAATATAAATGAAATTTGACATTGTATGAATAAATTGTATATTTACATAAATGATATTCCCCATTGAACCTTTGCAAATGTGACCGTCGCTCTAACGATATAAATTCCAATCAACAATATGGCAGGAACTATGGTAACTGGACCGATAAACCGTAACAGTATACCAACTAGACCCGTCGAACCAATCAGACAATGAATCAACCCAGCCAGGATCAAACTTCCCTGAAGCTGAAGTTTATATATGCATACTCTGATAGTTATAATGTAAAATATAGATTAAAACCATAACTTCCGATAATTATTATTCACTATTAATCGCTTGGGCGGTTGTTTACAGACGCAACATGTGACGACATTATACATGATGACGTCAATAAACGCGATATGAAAATTTGAAACGAAATTAATAGCCTTCCTTAACAAGAGGCCGTCGAAGACGCGTGATGCTCCCCGAATGGGTACTTTGTCACAAAAAAGGTTATTTGCACCGCCGACAAAAGTAATGTTGCGCCCATATATATATATATATATATGTAACAGCACACATGCATGCAAGATAAGTTTATTTGTGTCTCACCTGTCTATACAATTATTCCATGCTCTAATTATTCCTTATTCTTGTAGACCGCTGAAACTGGCTATTTAAGTAACACTACTTAGTATACTGCAGTATAGTACGCACGGAGCCAAACAATGGGCAATGTAGCGGCCCAAATGTTGCCCGCGACACGTCGTCTCAATATGGTGATCATTTCTTTGAAATAGTTGTAAAATCCGACTTTAGATAACGTTGTTATGAGCCGGACACGATTTTGCTGCAAGGTCATGATGTGACATTGACCTTCAAGGTAGCGACCCAAATGTTGCGCTCGACACGTCGTCTCAATATGGTGATTTTTTCTGTGAAATAGTTGTAAAATCCGACTTTAAATAACGTAGTTATGAGCCGGACACGATTTTGCTGCAAGGTCATGATGTGACATTGACCTTCAAGGTAGCGGCCCAAATGTTGCGCTCGACACGTCGTCTCAATATGGTGATAATTTCTGTGAAATAGTTTTGTAAAATCCGACTTCAAATAACAAAGTTATGGGCCAGACACGATTTTGCTGCAAGGTCATGCTGTGACCTTGATCTTCAAGGTAGTGACCAAAATGTTGCGCGAGACACGTCGTCTCAATATTGTGGTCATTTCTGTGAAATAGTTGTAAAATCAAACTTCAAATAACGAAGTTATGAGCCGGACACGAATTCGATCCGGGACGTACGGACGGACTGACGGACAACCCGGCGATTATGTGCTCCCCCGAATTTTTTTCGGGGAGCATAATAAATGACATTTAAGATATTCAGGTTTGACATGATGATTTAACTTTTATAAAGAGAATACAAAATATAACCCTATGTCTTCCATAGTGTCAATGAAAAGAGAAAATATTATAGCCTTTACTACCAGAATAGAGCCTGACCAGCCGACACACTCGTGCAGTCTGACCAGGCGCTATACTATTGTCTGACCAACAGGAAATTTTCATCTTAATTTTTCAAAAAGGACAATGTATAGGTCCAGGTCAATTTGTTTCAAGAAGTTGAATAGTTAAAAGGTAAAGGTAAATAAGTTATCCAAACTGCGACTCTTTGTCACTTCATTCCCATATTAGTTATTCTACATATTAGATTTACTTACTGATTGAATATTCGTCATCACAATAGGTCTTTTGATAGCTATCATGTCTATTGTCTCGTTTGCCAGCAGGGCCTCTTCTTGTGATCTTGTAACTATCAAGTAAAAACAGAAGTAAGACATATGGTAACGGCTATATGACCTGCCAGGAATCTAACGAATTTTTAATACAGCAAACTCCCTTTTTAGAGGAAAAAGTGAGATTTCTTCGTAACTTGACAGCAGTCTTGTATATAAAATTATATATTATTAATGAGTCAAAATTATCCAATGAAAACGTATGTTGCAAACGTGCAGTAAGATATAGATTCTATATGTTATTGCGACGTCTATTCATATGCCGAATTTCGTTAAAAAATTAAGATGTTAATATAGCCCTAGCAAGCCCTCAATGTGATTCTGTTGTCGGACAAGAATAAAAAGTACACAATCATTTCTTTTTTCGCTTTACAATATCAAGCTATTTCGATGTTCAGTTTGTTTATTTTGCTGTTCACTAATATATCAAAAGCAGTTTACATTCAGTTCAATAATGAAAAATGTAGGAAAAAGCTTAGGTTATACCAAGTTCCGGGTCAAGGTCACAACGGTCTTTGTCAATGGCTACCATAACTAGAAGCGGTATGACGTAATCGCCTGCTGCTCCTTGAAAAAGCGGAAGTCGTGTGCCAACAAATGTCATCAATAGCGTTGTTACGCCGCTCATGAACAAAGTAGTTCCAAGTAATTTCGCTTTTATTTCTTCGTCAGTTTCGGCACAAATTACTTCTGCTATCAACAAAGATACTGTAAGGTTCCCTGACAGTGAAAGAAGTGCTTGCTGTAAGAAATTTAATTTAAACAAGTAGCTTTAATTAACTGATCATTTAATTTATTGATATTAGTTATTAATGAGTTTGACATCAGCCGGCGTCCTCTGATCAAAAATTAATTATTTTTATTTGATTGTAATAGTGTGATGAATTTAACAAAAATATTTTTTTTCTATATCAATACTTCATCGAATATGCCTAATGACAGAGAAACAGTTCATTTGGGCAAACATTGTGCAAAGATTTCTTTTTGTTAACATGTTATTTAAATTGTTGCAGTGTCTTTTTACTTAACGGTTATCAATTATGTTTAAAAAGTTAAACGTGGACTATATAATTAAGTTTCTTCTTATTATTTCTACTGCGATCGAGCAATATCAGTCGCTAACAAGCGTGTCTGTTTTATAAATAGTTACTTTTTTGTATAACTATTAGATTAATGCGTAAAAAGGTTCTATTCGACACCATTTAATCAGTTAAGCCATACCTGGAATCCGAAAATGATTGACAAATGTATAGGTGGGGAATCGCTAACATTGTAAATCAACGCTGTGTCGGATAAATCTTCTACATCTTTCTCGATTGAATCTTCAAATGTCCCAGAAACCCCAGTCAGCACGTGTTCGACATCGGCTTCCCTTTCCTGTAGTAAAATAAAATAAAATGAGTAACTCTATATTACAAATGTGTGTAACTGAACGAAAGATAGAAAAAATATGTTATTAAAGTAATGGAAGCAGGGTCTTTCAAATCGAAAGACCCTGATAGAGGGAAATAAAAGAAAAGCATTCTGGTTGGAACTATTGTATATTGCTATAATTAGGACAGATAATAACTTCAAATCTCACTTGTTTGTGATAGGAACGCGCCACGTTGTATTTCTACGGTGTCCTGTTTGTGCCAATTAGAATATCGCCCTTTGATATGCGAGATGTTGACTAAATGGATACAGAAGCGAGATTAACATTCTCACGAGAAAACTAAAGCGACATTTAAAGTTTGATTTGTTTCATGCTTAACTTAAAACGAACTACTTCAACGACGTCTTATAGCCTAAAATTAAATAATCAAAATTATTTCATAAATCAATTGGTGCATTTAAAATTAAAAACTTTGCAATGGTTATATATAAATATACCAAGTATTGAAGTGATACTCGATTCCTATGCGACTTTTGCTCCAATTTGCACAAGACATTTTACTTTTACAGGGAAATGGAGTAATTTTGTACACAAGTTATAGGTCCGTATCTGCACCCACTTACACCGAATTATTGATAAAATATTGTCGGTCCCTTCATGTCATAAACCTCAATGGAGTCCCCTTAACCATCACTTTCGACTCTGTATAAAAGTATCTATTTCGGGGAACTTCGGCTGAAACCGCTGGTACTGGATTAACTTTAATGCTTGCAAGATCGCGACTATGTATAAGATATTCGAGAGTCTTTTTCAGTGAACTTCGGCTATGATTGTCAGTAGCGGGAAAATAAAACGATTTTTAGATAGGCCCAAACAGGACACCGTAAATAAAACCTCATAAATGTCCTTTATAATAATGCAAATGTTTGTTTCAAGACACAATTAGAAATAACAACCGTATGCTACTTTGTGTCAATTTTAAAATTACATCGCGTGAATCGTATGAGCGCAGAAAGTTTATAAATTATCATACATTGAGCACATCTTACCTTGGCGACATTATTTCCACCTATAGTCGATCCATTCTGGCAATCTTTGGACCAGTCAAAACCTTCATTTACCTTATATGTTCCTCCAACAATATCCATACTTAAATCTTTATTTAAAACCTGGATATACTCCGCCGTAAATCATATACCATAAACAAGTTCAACTAGGCCAACTTTAATTAGGATGTGCAAAACACAATCGCTTTCACACAATATGAAACAGGTAAAACGTGACAAAGTTCAGAGTTGTAACTGAAAAGAGCTCTTTGTGTACATCGCTTCACATCTTCAATTTTCTTATTCAAATGATTCGCCCTTGGACTTATTTTAAATGTAAACAGGTTTTTGGTGTAATTTACATATCTGTTATTAAAATCTGATCTTTAAGATAAGAAGAAAAAAGTTGGATATATCACTTACGTTTCACATTAGACGATGTAAACAAGTTCATTGAACGCCACCATTCCTTGATGATCTTGTTTACCATATTGTATTTTATATTAAAAGCAACTATGTTGTTTATTAATATCAATGTTAATCCTCATACAAAATTGTTGTTTTTATACGCGTTTTAAAAAAAATGATAATCTGCATACGTTCATTTAGGACCTGGAAGATTATGAAAGACGAATACTGGTTATAAGAACGGACCCTAATCTATATTTACAAATTGTATAACATTCACCTTTAAATACCGCTTTTTACAGCAGTAAATCACTATTATATATAGTATAAAAGTCAAAAATGTTCTCAAATAGTCTGTATCTTATACATTATAATAATTGAGTTGTGTCTAAGCATTTATAGTAACAAATACTACCCCTCTTTCAAACTTTACCAGACTTACTTTATTATAGCTACTGACATTAATTGACAGATTGTATATAAATATAAAATAATATTAAAATTGATAAGTTAAGGATTTTATCCTTTCTCTGTTTCAATTTTACCTGGACATGTGCACCTATATGCATAGATTTAATTTTCTAACAAAGCTTATTTTACCCCGGTCTGGTATACTCGCAGAGGTAACGCTCTGAAAATGGCTAACATTTTGACAGAAAATCAAGATCACTCTTCTATTAGTTTCTTTATTCTTCATTTCTAACATTGAGACGTTGAAATATCATGATTTTTTATATTTTTTCCCAAGAAATAAAAGTTATTTAAAAAAGATGTATCAATAAAATCTTTTATTGTTGAACAAAATAAGAGTCACTACAACTTATTCGCTCGAATCCCCAACTATCTAGCTGTTTTATTTTGTGAAACAAATGTTACGGTTATATAACAAGATATGCGTTTCTATATAAATATGCAAGAAAGATGTGTTCTACAACATGGTCCAAACACCCTGTCTCCACCAGGGGATTCAGTTGGTTTTTCGCGCGAATCCCCAACTACCAACTAGAACAGTAAGTGGTTGGTAATTCGAACTTTGCATGTTTAATGGATATAACTAACAGAAGGTTTTTGGTAATTCGAACTTTTACCTCTGAAAAAAAAAACCACGTACTTTTCCGAATATTCGTATAACCAACAACCTTTTGGCAAATATCGTCACGTGTTATTACACAAGTACTGTCATATAGTTTTTATTTGTTTGGGTCGTCAGACCAAACAAATAATGGTAGCGAAATTTCAGAGCATAATGCTGTTAATTGCAAATGCCTAAAGTAGTCCACTTTTTTGAAGCGGTTACTTCCCTTTAATGTGTACACTAACGCCGAAAAATTCAGGGGAGATCAATGCGTAAAGATTGTCAAATGAGAGGCGCATTAATTTTCAAGCAAAGTAGTTCCCGAATGGTCGAAGATTTCTAATATTGTTTCATTCTTTATAGATATACATGCTTACAGTAAGCTCCATGATTATTTACATCTGTGTTAAACAACAGGTTTAGCGTCGAACTAATAAGAGTTACAAACCCTAATTTAGAATAATATGGTTTTCTTCAAGCCGTTAACATATAACTTCACCGTGGCCGAGGGGTTTGCACGCTCTCTTATGAATCGAGAGGTCTGGAGTTCAAATCCCAGTTGAGGCAACTTTTTTTTAAATTTTTTAAGTCAAATAAACATTGAATTGACTATCAGTGTTGCAATTAGTCTTATAGCCAATTTACTACAGTTAAAACACTGGAAAGCATTGGTGGCACTATACAAAAACAAATTGGTTTATAATCTCACAACCTTCACCTTTCTGACATTCTGAGACCCAAACAAATTCAGCGCCTTCTGTGCTTTGATTATTAAATGGCTTTATTAGGCTATACTCCTGCATCTTAGTTTAAGTTACAATATCTTACACCGGTTGTCGGTACATACCGGAATATCTAGCTCGACGATAACTGTTTGGTAACGAGGCTCTGTCTGTGATGACATCCGGTGTTTCTTTCTTGTTCTTGAATATTACATATTAGTTAGAAATCAGGAAAGAAATTACGAAAACTAATATTTTCATATTAATACTTTTTTCTAATAGAAGCGCATGAATTTCCATTTTTAATTATAACGGCAAAATGACGTCATTCTGAGAACGCATTTCATTCATAAGAGCACCCCTTCGTGTAGATAATTCTTATATGCAAAAAAACATTATATATCTTTACTAGTCGTGACCTGACATTATGGGTCGTAGCATAGCATAGCATAGCATAAAGCATAGCATAGCATAGTATCCAGTAACGCCGGAATGTTAAAATAACGCACGAGTCGTGCAATAAGTAACGTAGAAGCGGATACCTAACATGATTTCCAACGCGGTAAGTAAACTGGCCAATATATTTCTTATTTAACCGAGCTGAAAAAAGAAATAGTCGCATACGGCTTCGAAGACATTACTCTACTCTTTTATCCCTTATAAAGATTATTTACACGAAGATGCTTACTTTTCAAGATCATTCGTGAAAATGATGGCTTCAGCACCGTTCTGGGCGAGATTTTGGCTTTTTGTCGGCTCTCATAAGTACAGCAATGCATATTATACTGTATAATTTCGATTTTCGGTAGGCAAATGACATTTACTCAACTTCTAGTGAAAATTGAAAATAAGCTGATAAAATGTGATTCGATTCGTTTTTTATGACATAGCCGACATACGTGAATAGTGCTATACACAATGAATATGGCATCTCTTATTCATACCTCCTTTTAGATGGTGTTTTGTTAACTTTAAAACACTTTCAGGAGGTGTTTTGTAATTCTATTGAAAGAGTGCTACTTCATATCAATATTTGCTTCCATTTCGTTAAATATATCAAAATAAACAATAAATATATCAAAATAAACATGACAAAACCAATGACAAGCTTGTTTATACGGGGAATCGATTTAGATACATTGTATGTAAGTATTAAATTCAGCAACTTATGGCGATAAAGAAAGGTGTCACTTTCTCGATAAGCTGATTACATTTACACCTGTATTTATCATTATATAGATTTTTGTGTCATACATTCAATCGTATGTTGTATTACAAAGAATGACCATGATAATATTACCATCGTTTGACTCGCGTCTTTTTTCTTATTTTCTTCACAGTTACGTATTGTATTCTTAATATGCTGTATGAAGGTGCAAAATGAAACGTTAGAATACGGTAAACACCTGTACCTAGATTTGTTCTCCTTGACGGTTCTAGAGTCTAAAAGCTTTATTGCTTACATCTCTCAATCTTAACACTTACCTTTATATTTGTTTATACCCACATTTAAAATATGTTAAACAAGAAAAACAAGGAACGGCGACATTCAATGAACTGCTGGCCATCAGTTTACCACAAACTCTTTTAATATTTAGAACAGAATTGTGAACAAGTACATATAATGAAAGTATAAAAGTATAAAATCGAAGTCATGTTACATATCAAAAATCACCTTATTTTTTTTACTTTTAAAGCATTTTTATAAAATTTTCTTACATAAGCCAGTAAACAAACAAGTAAAAATAAATAAATAAATAAATAAATAAATAAATAAATAAATAAATAAATAAATAAATAAATAAATAAATAAATAAATTAATTCAAATTCAAAACGAATTTAAAATAATAATTATCAAGGTAGGTATTTCATTTATATGATTTTTTTTAATGTCATTTCTATAAATGCACCTCATTAAATGCTAATGTATATGTACAGAAAAAAGACAATGGAGCAAGAAAATACATAAACTGTAAGTATACAATATTATGCTGACATATTATGGAAAGTAGGTGTTGGTAGTTTGAATACACATTGAATTCACCAGAGCACAGTTCAACCACCGCATCATTCCTGGGCCGGCTGTCATGCAGTATACTTGTACTAGTTGCCTTCACTTTCGCGAGGAACTGAAACTTCTGTACATGCCAGAGCAGAGGTACAGTGCGAAAGGATTTTATGATAAATCACAACGGAAGTGACCTGCGCCGTCCGGGAATCGAACCCTGGCGCCCATTCACATCAAAAACGCTCACCTTTGAGTTACCGAGGGCTCTATTATGGAAATTATACATAGAACTTTAAAAAACGGCATATAGTTTCCTGCTTCTCATTGGCTCCTTTGAATTAACGAAGAGTCTTGCTTTTTAATTGACAGGTCATTGCAAATCAAAGATCATTAAAAACTTGCGATTTTTTCATTTTCATTTTGGCATCTAATTTTTGTCGGTACCTATCTCATTTTCGGAAGCAGATACACAATGTTCATTTCGTTTTTAGTTTCGTTGATCAAGTTCAAATCTGACATTTAAAGTCTTTTTACCAATTATTATGGTACTTATTAAAACACATCATAGAATTGATCATCATAGACAGAAATTAACAAATTCGTTCAAAAACCTACAAGGAACAATGGATTCAAGAAACTCAGCAGGTTGCAAAACTTAGATCGTCTAGACCGTTAAAATTTTGCCACTGAGCACTATTTGAATCTTTATTTCAGTAGGACACTACCTTTATTTCAGTAGGACACTTTGAAGTTTCTTATTTTTCTTATTGATATTTTATCGCCCTGGAACGATTTAATGAACAAGTGAAAACGTTGCCTAGCTATACTTTTAAGAACACCTTTTTGAAAATTGCGGCAAATTGATTGGTCATCAAATGAACACTTAACATTATTAGACAAATATCACAATAAATCGTTACAATATCAAACAAATAATGTACGTAACGCACCAAAAATTGATAGTACATGATATAATTTTAAAACTGATATCGCGATTATTTATTCCCCTTAATGCTCCCACTCGGACTCCATAACAAAATTTATCCCGTTTTCAAGCTTGAACTAGGCAGTAAAACTTAAAACTATTTCAAGTACTAAAGCCAATCTTTGGTGCGTTACATTATTTTTTGAAAAAGAAGAAGAAAAAAAAACACGCACGCACGCACACAAAAACAACAGTCCGATTGGGAGCATTTTGCAAGTGCTTGATGACTAAGTATCATACCAATGTAATAATTTCTGCCAAAATTTTCTAAAGGCCAAATTGTGTGTGCCAAAATCATTCGATAATTTCTACATGACTGTGTTTGTGTATAGGTATAAATATTGTGAATATGTTTACTTCAGTACTTTGTAACATAACATCAAACATTTAAGGTGCAACACTATTTACCGCGAAACATGTAACGGATATTTTGTAAAATAAGGTCAATGAAAGTTTTGTTGCTGGTTTTTTTACTTATTAACATATTAATTTTGATACTTATTAATATGATAAGTTGTTAAAATTTGTCGAAAATGAGTAACGTTTTAGTTGTAAAAGAAAATGTACATGCTAAGATTATTTTTCATCACCTTCAAATACTGTAAAGTGACGAAAACAGAACAATGTTGCTCTACTGTCATGTCACATTACAAGTCTTGTAAGTCTTGTTAGTACCATTGTTTTGTATTGTAATTATTTTCTTTACCAGGTAGGAATCAATATAAGCATTTGTTTTTTAAATTTAATACCAGGTCCCATGGACAGTGCATTAATATGCAAATTTAAATGATTTACAACATCCAGAATAAGGTCCAGGAGTTATCTTCATAGTAAATGACCTGTGAACAGGAATGATTTGGCAAGGTATCTGTCATTAGCGCATTTTTGCGCGGAACTTCAGTTGCTGCATTGCATCAACATTTGTTCTTGTATAATCTATTCTAGTTTCCTGTCTTCATTTTCTAAGAAGTAGTGTAAGTGAAAGAAGTCCAGTCTACGAATAGTCTATTTTTAAGTTAAATGGTTTGGTCAGTTATAGCCCGTTTCGACTTAAAAAATCATTTCTAGTGTGGAAAATTAAAAGTCAACTTATTATTTTTACTATTGCTTTTGAAATGAACAACAACAAGATAATAACACACGTCTTTTTACATAATAATATAACAACACATTCAAATAAAATGCTAAGTGGATTTCTTTATTTCTTTTTTTGTGAAACATAATTTATTTACAAAAATCGTTCATTTATTTATCTCTTTTCTGAGAGGTTTCCACTGATTATGTTTTTGGTTTTTAATTGGTTTCCACCAATCCCTTTCTCACAGATCATAAAATTAAAGTTAAGTTGTTTCACACACATTTAATATAAGCTTGGATACTTTGTCAATAAGTCAACCAAAAACGAAAACAGATCTTGCATAACAAACTAGCTAATCTGAACAAAATTGGCGGAGTAAAATCAAAGCACATACTAAAAGCAAACTTCTGCTTCTAGGTCTCCCGCCATTTTCTGCTGCAGAGTTAACGTCATAGTTCCTGTCGGTCATTCTGTAAGCGGTAATATAGTCATCCAAACATACTTGTACATATGTGATAGTACCATTCTGCGTCTGTCTCGGAACAAATTCACCCGGACCAAACATTAAATTACCAATACTGACACTCTCGTTGCCATGGATAATGAATTCGTCCTTATAAAAAGTAATTGTGTCACAGAACTGAAGTTTGGACATTGCAATATTGTTAAAGCACATGTGTGTGGAACTGGAATTGAATTTTGCAAATGTCACGGCATGTTCGTCAATTGGTTCAAAGCCTGATTTATAAATCTGTAGAAGATATGTAGTTTTGTTGTCCTTTACCATTTCATTGTAAGATTCAATGCCTTTTACATATTCATTGTAAGCGTGCTTGATATTTACATTTGAAACAGCCCTTATATAAACAATACTTATCTCAAAAGATTCAGGTGAATATTTCATGTCTAAGACTTCAGCAAAACAAAGTCTATCCATATCTATATTTAGGACAGCAAAAATGTTGCTTTCAAATATGTCCGAAGGTACGTGCTCCATATCCCTTGCATTTGTTCGGTAGATCATCGTAAGCCTGTACTCCAAATGTATCCCCGATAAATGTGAAAATACTGGTTTGCAAACGCCGGCTACATTTAACTTTGTGACTGCGCATGTGTAATGAAAACATGCTTCCTGAAAAGAAATGATTTATAATTGTAAGTTATTTTAGAAAGTATGATTAAAGTAAACTAGTAAAAGAGATCCGCCAGACATGTAAATGAGTTTCTTTTTCAATTAAATCTTTAACATATACTCAAGATTAAATCATTTAGACTTAAAGAATATAGATGCAGAGATTTTTTGTATGACCAATAATATCCCGCAAATTATAAATAACAAAAAAACGATATTCATTATAACTGTTGTGTTAAAAGCGGATTTTGCAATAAACATGAATGAAATGAATGAATACATACAGAAAAGCAAGGATGTGAAAGTAACCCAAAATTGTACGAACATTTGGCCAAATCTAGCAAGAAAATAAATCAATTAAAGTTGATGAACTTGCGCATACCTATAACATATTAGACCCCATTAAAACTGTTTCAACGAAAATATTCACTTTTCAAAATTATTCTATAAAAAGCATGACCTGAGCATCGTATTGAAGGTCACTTGAAGTAATGTTTTGTGTTCGTCGATATAAATTTATTGGTTTAATGAGGCATATACACCTGTAATACCTTTTTGTTTTTAATATTTTCGGTATACATCACATGGTACGGAACCGTACACAGGATATAATCGTGTTTTGAGTAAAATTAAACAAGAGGTAAGACAAATTCGATTTTTCAGCTCATATAACATTATTTGACCTTGATTTTGTCATAATCACCCTTAATATACGCCAGATATAAAACATTTCAAGTATCAAGACAACAAAAAATATGATTTAATGCACGATTTAGTTAAAATCACCGTTGCTCGTTTAAGAAATTGTATTCACAAGTACAAATATTATAAGTATCAGTTATGATAAAATAATCCTTTCTACCTACTAGTTATCTAAATACAACAAAACCTTAATAAATCTTTAAAAGATTAGATATTCTTTACTTTATTCTTTAATTTGGTATAGTATTCAACAGGCAGGATAAATATTAACTCAATTTTTTACGGAAAGAAAACACAATTTTTTACGGAAAGAAAACACAACTTACTAGCTCATTATTGTACTTCTTTGGAAAATCACAAATATTCACTTCTGAAATGCTAGTCTTTGAAGGTACCTGCTGATCAATATTCAGCGACAAGATGGATGTGAACGGGACCTCCGAAATTTCGTATATCATATCTAAGCATTCCAGGTAATCACCTTTTAAGCCGGAAGGGTTCGCGCACTCCATGCAAAACACATTTCTATAAATGACGTTACCACTTTCAACCGGTGCATAGTAGTGTTTACAAAGGTTGTCAAGGCTTGGATTTGTTGCAGTCTGAATACAATATTTTCCTCAAGAAAGCAACGATCTGCTTTCCCTACGGCTTTTTTGTTGGTGGGGTCCAAATCAGTGAACAGTTAGGGTTAGTTGAAATGAAATCTAAAATTGAAAAGTTTTCAACATCAGACAGTTTCGGGAGGCCATATGATGAAGCTATTGCTTGATTACAGATCATTTGCGTTTGCCACAATACAAGATTTTGCGAATCATTGTTGCACTTTGAGCAAAACACATTCTGTAATGCGATTTGTTCTTTGACTAAAACAGGTATCATTTCTTCAAGGTCAAACACGTTGGGCGCAAACATTTTCTCCCTCAATTGATACTCTACATCATCATTGCAGTTCTGAATGAGCATATAACTTGAGTTTATATAAGTCTTACTATTGTAACCGGCGCCAGAAACAACTATGTTGGCACATGTTTCTTCTGTAGCAGATAAAGGTGAATCTTGATTGTGGTGATACCGAGATCCGTTAGTCATATCTAGGCAACAATTACCGGCAACGTAGCACCGTTCAGAACAATCGCAAGGTAGACAGCATTTACCACCTATTTCAAAACCATGTTTTAGGGTATCATGTTGGCAGGTATGTGTAGTTTTACAAAAGGACAGCATGGTTCTAATCGGTGCTTCAACGTCAATTGAAAAAACATTTTCTAACGACGGCGAATCATCTTGGACTGAACTAGGAAAAAATTGTTCAGGAAAGAAAGTAACCGAATCCTCTCTGACAAACGCTTGATCAGGAACAGATGGAGTCAAAAAATGTTCACCATTTCCTTCAGTTGTTGATTTTGTTAAATGAAATGAAGGCGTTGTCGCTTGTGTAACAAGCCAATTTTTATTCATTAAAGTGCCTTCAAGAAATGTGAATTCCTCGACCAGCGATACGGTGAATACCACTGCCAATACCTTTATAAACATAAATTTACCCATCTTAAATTGAAAAGAGTAGGTCTGATAATTCTTGTTTATCTGAAAAAAAAATCACAAACTTTTGTTTAAAAAATACCAAGTTTTGAGAAAGAATGTTCGTTAGAAAAAAGAGAAACACTATGATATATTATGCATGTCACAATCATGAATATATGGCAACTATGATTTAAGTATCGCTCAAGCCGGTGCAAGGGGGCATGAGGGTAGATGCACTTTTTCATTATCCCTCATGTACAGACTCGACTCAATTAAACCGCGTCTGCAATTTTCATGTAATGTTGCTGATTTTCCGAAAGCTTCACTTTTTCCAGATATTTTACATAGTATTACTCCGACATGTTTGCGCGCGATATATTAGTTTTTACCATGTTAAGTTATTTGTTGTTGTTTTTATTTTCCGTGTCAATTGCAAATATTAATCAATCATAATAAATCTTGAGTAAATATTCATTTTATCCCTGGTTGTTTCCTACATTTACATATGCACATCAATTTTGCATTAAAATGTATGAAACAAGCACCTGGTATTGTCACAAAACCATCATTTCCTACAATAACCACGGGTTAACCCCTTCAGAAATACCACTTGGTCTTGTTTACATGAGAGTATTTCTTTATTATGAGCATTATTATGAAAACTACAGCAAACGAGCTTACTTTCCCAAAAGCAATTAAATTGTGAACCGCCAACAACATGCACCAGGACACTTTATAATAATAATAATAATAAAAAATTACAAAGAGTAAAGAAAATCAAAGTACATGGTATTATCTATTACAAATTTACTTTACGTTCTTTCACCACAATATATAACGTAAATATGTCTTTTAATAGTTAATACTAATTGACAGTTGCACAAATTGCACTGCTTTAACATAAAATGGAATGTGCGGAAAATACGAATTAAGCATTGATTTTTAATTAAAAAGACAATTTATAATGTTAAAACTTCATTATATAATAACCCGTTAGACTTAACATATAATGTTAAAGAAAAGCTCAAACTACCTTAAACAAATATTTTTTTAATATCGTTTGGAAAAATAACATGCAAACTACGTTATATATGTAGTATAAAATTGCATGACTTTTAATAGACACTATTTAGATTTTATGAGATTTTGAATAAAATATTTTAGTTTAATATAATTGCATTTCTTTTTGGAAATACTATATTTACCCTTTTTTATTTATATTTTATATATGTGTGTGTGTGTGTGTGTGTGCGTGCGTGTGTGTGTGTGCGTGTGTGTGTATAAAATACATAAACATATATATGCAAATACATTACACATTAAATCAAAATGCTAAATGCACTAAATGCGACGGACATGCAAGGTTTTTTTCCAGAAAAAAACCCACAAAAGACACAACAGAGACAATTTGTTCCATACAAGTACTAGATTTGTAGAGCAATCTTTTTTAGGTGTCCCAATCTGATATCATTCAGATTTTCTACTTTTAAGTAGAACACGTCCAAATTTTTAAATACAGAATGAAATTTATGCCTCAAAACTCTGGTCAAACTTGTAAATCAGTGTCCCTATCGATTTATTTGTAAAAAGAAAAAACTGTCAACGAAATATTTCTAAAATAAAACCATGCAAATAAACTTCAAGCATGCGAGAATGTTAATTAGAATTGCTTCGCGTTATATCATTGTTGACATATAGACAATAGAATATAAGTCATTAGTATTTTAATTTTTATTTGTCTTGGATGTGTCTCATTAAAAATAGTTTTGGTTAAAACCATCTGCAATTAATGGTGTATTTTTTAGATTTTTTTTTCATTCACAAGGTAAAGATGTAGAGGCCAGAGCACATCGTTTTAAATTTAATTTAGATGTCACTTAAGCACTACAGTGTTAACTTGTCCCTTTCAATTTCACACTAAATTCCATTTTCAACTTGTTTGCTTCTTACAATTGTATTGCATGTAAACAAAGTAAGTATCCGCTGATTTATTTCATGTATAATGTGTACTACCTAATCGCTTGTCCGAAAGTCAGCACAGGTGATGTAGTGGTGATTTGGTGAATAGTTCCTACTTATAATTTCTAGGAATTATTGAGCTTACTCCTTAATTATAGCATAATTTGTTGTCCTCCTTTTTTGACAGCGGTAAATCGTTTCAGCAGTTATTTGCATATTGCGCAATAATACTACGGGGTTACAGCGTTGTTATCAATCAAATACGTTCATATTTCAACTTGGATAACTTAATTTGAAATTGAAAAGGCTAAATATGGAAGTTTTTAAGATATCTCGACAAAGAATGGCAGTTTTATAGGATCAAATTCATGAAATATTTCTTGGGCTGTTATTCGGTTGAGGACACTTGCGCGATTGTAGCCGACGAAACCCCATGTGTAGATGACATAGCTCTGAACGCGCCTGAGGGCGCGTCCGTCGCATTAAAGTATTATTTGTCAAAAGGCTATCTTTTGATTAGGAGTGGACTTATTTGCAGAATTTACCTTGTTAACAGAATGCAACTCAGTATAGGTTAAAACATGGTAGGTCATATTTAACTGATATACGAGTAATGAAAATACGTAAAATACAGTCCAATTTGTTAAGACTTACCAATTTTGTTAAGAGATAAAACCGTTATATATATAATATATATTTATATATAATATAATATATAATGAAATTCCATTTACATGTATCATAAATATAACACACATATTGCTATTGAAAACATACAACAGCTAGTAATCTATTCTTTTAGCAAGTTTTGTCTACCTATCCAGTTACCTGCGAATAAAAGATGGCACTTATATCCTAACTTACAAGAAATAGATATCTTGAAATAAGAAAACAGGAGAAATTGCTAAATACCTTTATATTCCTTTGCGTGAATGAAATATTAACATTGGCAATTTCTCTTCTGGTCCATCGGAACTGTCAGTGAAAGTGTGATTACGACATCATTGATAAATACAAGAAGTGGACACCGCAAAGCAAATTTATAGGTTATAGATGTTGTAAACTAATTGATTGACACTTTGGGTTGTATATCTGTCATAACGAAATAAAAAGGATGGGCTTGGCTTATTATTGGTTAATATGAAAATTGAAACATTCGTTATTATTGAAATTATTTTCCGAATTAAATACAAGGACAAATGGTACGTGGCTTTTTTTTTCTTTTTCACAAATGGTACGTGGCAGCTGTAAAACGTTGCAACTAACTATTATATGTTATTTTGGTTTTGGACTGATATATGTGGATATATTACCTGTCAAGATTTTATATCACCCGAGCCGTCAGGCGAGGGTGATATTTTAGGTTTAGGAATGTCAGAGTATGAGACAAGGAAAAAGTAATTTACCGCTAATTTCATCAAACGTCAATTCGTCTGCCTGCGAAGCAAGATCTCGGGCAAATACTTCAAATGTTCTTTGCTTATACTCTTTGCTTATACGGCACTTTATTAGCCCCTTCTGACCCAATCATGTAGGGAAGGGAGTCCTCGGGGTATTCATAAGCTCCGTGACGTATTACTGCTTGAAATCACGTTTTTGAATGAGACTTCAATGAGGGCAGACTGCAGACTTAATTTACGTCCTCATGAAAACTGTTTTTGTTGAACAACATACAAGTTCTCTATGATAAACCTTCTCAGTTTTAGTGGCGAAAAAACTCTTTCTTAATTTTTCTAGAATAGAAATTGAATACAACATGGTATATTAATATGGTATATTAATATTATCTTTACATTTTTTCAACATCATCAAGGAACATTAACAATGAATTTCATCGTGGAATATGTTACTTATACTAAAATTAAATTCTCAAAAAACATGACACGTGCTAATTTTGCATAAAATGACTGTTAAACGTTCAATATAAACTTATAAAGACAAACGAAACAATAATAATAGACATTTACCAGTAGGCCAATAGCACTTTTAATACAACAGTTGCTCTTAGAACAATCAATAAACCTTGAAAACAAAAACAATACATCTAAGGAATTATGGCACGCGCATCTACATGAGAAATGTAAACAAACTTTCGAAGCGCAAC